TTTGGAGGGTCAGCCTTGTCTCGTTTGTGACTCGTATGATTACTCTCTTATGATGTCGTACCAGTAAGGGTACGATCCATAGGCGGTTTTGCTCCGGCGAGCTGGAAAATGACATTTTTGGTAGTGTGGAAGTAGCGACCGCGCGCAAAAGTCAGCCGGTGTATCAAATCCAATTGTCTCCGCACATTAATATCGACTGTCTCCCGTGATTATGTCTATATCACATATATTAGAAAATAATTGGATGGAAGTGATGCTATATTTGTGGGGTGCTGAGCATTACTGTAATTTTTACATTATTTTTTTGTGAAACTCATACTGAATACTATTTTACAACGGTTTGAAATATTAGTTAGGATATTTAGTTGTTGGGTAGTTGCTTTTAAGTTAATAATTAATCATACATCTGATATTTGTTTTAATACGCTCTTAATGATTTATTGGAATTATTCCATTAAATTTTCGTAGTGCATTAGAATTATAAAAATGTATTTATTCAAATAATCCGGCCGTTGGCTGTTGGGGTCTTGGAGTTTTCTTTGGCGGCACCATTGGTATTCCACTCTCCTTCGTGCAAACAAATAAATGTACATTCTCTTCGTTAGTTCATCGTGCCAATTAAGTATTAACACAGTCAATTGTTAGTGGCGTATATCTATACGTATTATATGTTCAAATAGGTAATACTAGTTGTTTTTCTAAAAACATTGTAGTTGTGTGTTGCGTGATGTGTGGCGATTATTGGTGACAAGGCGGTACCCTTTGACACCGATGTTGTTTATTGATATCTTATATACGTAGTCGCTTTTATGATCGTGTAGTTTACAGTACAATGTAAGAATAATAATCCTCATTACTGTTTGTTTAATTTTTATTAATACTTTTATTATTAAAATATGTACCGATTTTCAAAATGTTATACATTTGTCACAGGAAAACAAAACTTTAGCGAACATTTTAAATATTTGATGGTTTATTGAAAGCTTTAAAAGTTTTTTCATTGGTAGTTAAATATTAATTAAAATATATTTTATTTTTATTTGAGATTTTCTAGGTTATTACCATTGTTCGATATTTTAGTGAAGCAATTATTTTTTTGAAATCAAATAAATGAACGTGCTGCTCATAAAATTATACGTCTTTATGTTTATGATTTCCATTGTTTTTAATTCACAATTTCATCTCGGTTCACCGGTACTGCATAAAATAGAGAAATACAATCCTTTATATTTTATTGTTTGTGTTTCCTGCACTTTATGTTATATTATTCTCGGCGAATGAAATCCAACAAAATGCTAACAGGCGATCATTCAGCTGGTTTACGCATAGTATGTAAAATAACTTATTGTTTAGTGACGCCGTCTCGTGTTCAATAGTCTTTAGAATTTAGCATTACTTTGTTTATCGTGAATTTAAAATTTGATAGACAAATAAATCCTTCTATACGAATACATTATAAAATAATAATACATGAAGAATCAACATATTTGACGGCTTTGGAAATTTAACATTCAATATGTTTGATATTTATTTACTTGTTTTGAAGATTAAAAATATAAATAAATCGTTTTATGTGCACTGTAAATGTGTTCAGTGTATTTAAATAGATAATTAATATTTTTTATCAAAATAATTTTTTTCTGCTATTTGAAATTGTTCACCAGTTAAGTAAAAAATTATGCTGTTTAATGAGTTTTTTTTTCTATAGATATAAATTTTGTAATTTAATTTACTATTTTCATTATAAAATTAAAATTTTTGGATTTTAAACTCGTTTAACGTTAATTAAAATGAATATTTTAATTATATAGTAATATGTTTGTTCAGAACTAATAAATTTCTCATTAAATTCTAACCAAAATTGGATTATTTTAAATTCGGTAGAAAATACAATTTAATTTTAAATTCATTGTTTATTTTTATGGTCAATCGAAAGGTTTTGCCATATTTTTAATCTTGATAATATTGTTTTCCGTCAAATAAACTATTATTATAAGCATATAAATTAATATAAGTTCTGTCTATAATCATCTCTTGCTTACCTAACCGTTTTCGCCTGGTTGGATAGTAAGGTATAAAAAAGTTACGCCTGATCGATCTTGAATTAAGTTTTTCTCGTTTTGGTTTTATCCGACATGAAAATTAATATCTTCTCTATTCCATTTACACTTATGTGTGTACCGAAGAGATATAATTTCTAGGTACGTATCTTATGCATGAAAACACAACCATCTGATGCCGAAAAATCGTTTACATATTCAACATTTCATTGCGTTTCTTTCGGCAATAACTCGTTTTAAATACATTTTCCTTTGTCGGCAGTGATGACATTTGAGTACTTTATTCCCCGCTTTTCAAATTCGATTAATCCCGTCCATATTAAAAGGCAAACTTGATTATAAACATCCATTAGACGATATTTTTCTAGAAATAAAAACAACCCTTAACCTCTTCGCTCTCTTACTCGCTGAAATCGGCCCTTTTTCTCTACGCGAACGGCACATTAAAATTGGATCCAAATTAGATTACAACGCGCTCGCGCAAAAAGGGGTTTAAATGTATACGTTGGGAAAACTAACTCGAATTTATTGGCCAACGTTCAGATTCCGCCCCTCCTTGTCGTCCACTCGATTCTGCCGTATTTTGCGTCCGATTAAGTCCATACACTGAAGTAATGTCCTAGGGAACATAAAATCAACTGTGCAAAATAATTTACATTGTTGATAAACGAGTAAAGTTTTTTTGACACTTTTTCTGATGCTTATTTTTAGCTTCTTAAGTGTACATATGCCAATTATTTTTATTAAAATAATTTTTTTATCAAGAAAAATATTTTTGTTTTAATTCAGAAAACGTTTCACTAGAAACGGTTTAGATTTTCTTATTCAATAGATATTTTTTTATGAGCAGTAAAATAATTATTATGTTATTTTATTTCATAAAATAACATAATGATATTCATAGCTATGAAATTCAAAATAAAAACATTTTATTGCAAATAACGTTGCAACTAAAATGGAAGGCAATAAAGAAATGAATTCTACTTATAATTGAGACATAACGATTTTTTTATATTTTGAAACTTATTCTGTATTCTCATCAGTTGATATATTTAAGATAATCTAAAATACGTAAGCTACAAATGTAATAACAACATGTAAAGCAACAAAGAATGCTTTAGATGGAAAATATCTTACAAATCACCATTGTGATTTGGAAGAGAATATAAGATCTTCCTTTTATGATGTATCTATTTGAATCTATTGTGCTAATATTTTGACCGAAAGGTAATCCAGATATGCACTCACACGTTGCATTGGAGTGGGCCGGTGAATTTATCTTTGCGCAAACCAAGGACTGTATTAGGTATGTACTGTTGTGTTGTTGTTATTATTGTACAGACCACCCGGTACCTATGTAATGGGCGCAATATATGAGGGTGTGTAGAGGACAAGGGTGACGAGCAGTAGCGCGTGAACGAAATATTTTCAAGGGGATGATTAAGACACGGTGTGGTGATTTATAAAAATGTAATCACTTTGTCCAAGATGGTTTCCCCCGGGAGACACGATGTAATGGATGTGTTGTATGTATGTTTGGATGGGATGGATAATCCTAAAAGGGTGAGTACGAATAGTGAAGAATGAACACTAAGAAATAACGGGTAAAGATCACTGAAAAATAGATGTTTACAGATTCTATTATAATAGTACTTTTCTATTACCGCAATGTGAGCATGTACATGGTTGATAAGTTTTTTTGTATTTACCATTACATATCCTAATTTTTTATTCTTCGACCGATATTTTTAATAAAAATTATCAGCGAGACATGTTTTTGAGTTCAAGAATAATGAAATATAAGTTCAGATCCGATTTCGTCAATCTAAAAGAATGTTAAAATCTCTTAATTAGCTTTAATCTTCCGATCATATTTTATTTATAGTCTGATGTTTTGCCATGACTTGTAAACGATTAATATTTTTCCTTAGAAATCATCATATCAAAATGAGGTTTTAGTACATTTTATCTCATTACACATTATTTAAAAAAAAATCCATTTTGGACTGTGGAATATTTTCAGTTAAGAAATCAATATAAATTTCAATTCATCTAATGCTGTTATTCAGCCAAGATTCTCAGGTGTAAATTTTGTTCGCAAACTTTACTGCAACTTTATACAAGGTACTTCGTAAATAATTTTTCATTATTAAAAGCAATTATTAGGGTAAGAAACATCATTAACTCAGGATCTCTTACCGCCCCCTACTCCACAGCAAACGTTTAAGTGATTCCAGACCACTTCCGCGAGCGAGCACTTAACTCAATTACTACCCTTCATACTTATGGTGACCGTGTGTCTTTACATTTTTACAACACTCTTGGGGACCACTGATGCTTTCATCTTTAATGCACTTTTCTTCATTTATCATACCGAAAACCGTTTAGTTGTACAGTTTGTAGTAAACACGGCACTTACCTTAATCCAAATGTAAAAACCCCTAGACTTCCTTTATGTACACTATCATCTTTTAAAGTTACGCCAAAAAGCACTTTCTTTAAAATTATTTGTTTGTTTTCATTTTCAAAAAAGTTTATTTAAAATTAATGAATCAACTTTGTGCTTGTAATAAATCTTAAAAACATAATTTATATTAATTTGTTTCATAACTCATTGATTCTTAATTGAAATTTTAATCTTAACATAATTACATTAATAATTTTTATTAAAGTTGCTTTAATTATGTTATCAAGGTTTTTATGAAAACTTTTAGAGTAGTTGATAGTTCTTTACTTAAAAAAACAGTCTCTAGGTCTAATTAAGAAGTTAACCATACAAAAAGAAAAACTTTTAAGAAAGTGTAAAGTTTTATCTGAAATAAAAACAAATCTCTGTCCAATGCTTGACTGAACATAATATATGTATTTTCGATTTAAAAAATAACAAGAATATCACATATTGTTGGTACACAATATTTTATTTAAAAATTATTCTTGAAAAATATTCATCAAAGTAGAAGTAAGAAACATTACAAAACAGTTGTATAACTTGCTCATAAATTTGTATAAATAAAATATAGTACATTTGTTATCACTCAATTTATGCGAAAACAACTTATGAATCGCAAGGTATTTATTTTAAAAACATATTTAAACTTAAAGTAAAAAATAGTTAAATTATATATAATATGATTTTAACATTTATTAGACTCGAAAAGTTCACGGCACAGCCAATTATTAATAAAAATGTTAAATTTCAAGTAAAAGCGTAACGTACCGTGTCGTTTACTTTTTAAATTAGATATTTTGTGATACACATAAAAAGGTTTAAAGTCAGAGTAACAATAAAAAAGATAAGAAATTCACGAGGAACACCAAATAAACATAAGAATCAATAATAATGTTTAACAAGAAAATACTGTAACGATGGCGTTGTCGTCACAGTTTATCAAAAGCTCTAGAGTTAGTCAAAAGTTCTCTAGTGAGCCTCCACGTTTGTTTTGCCGCGTTTTCTAAACTTTGATGAGATTTACCTTTGAAAAGGTCCACGTGCGGTAGAAAGTAATGTGGACACCTTCGACATTGCAGACATGATATTAGTTGCAACAATATGCCGTTGATTCTGTCGCCCAGGCACATGTCGTCCCACTCTATGTCCATAGGGTGTTTTTCGCACTCGTACAACACTAAGGTCTTTATGTGATAGTTGGTCACCGGATTTCCCGGCAAGTCCAAGTGTCTGTCTCTAAGAGTTTTAAGAATACTCAAACATCTTCTACGGCAACCGCCATACGTTAGTCTGTTCTCTACTTCCACGAACGACATCACCCAAGCGTCGCCTTCCAGCGCTGACTGTTTACCGTGAAGCGTTACGCATTCCTTGGACAATAAATCGAATCCCTCTGTTTTTACTTCGGCCACTAAGTTTGGATGTGGCCACGGGATTTGAGGCAGAGGCCAGTGCGCCGAAGATCGTGGCCATATGCCCGCGCATTTAAACGATGGCGTAATTTGGACTATGTACCGTTCGCGAATCCGAAGTTTCACTTCGCTAGTATCGGCAATCATTTTAACCGAGTCTCGATAAACGCATTTGTCGCAAGCCTGAGCCACCAAGGTCTGGAATCTCGACCGGATCTTCCTGGCGGACAGATAACCTGATGCCGTGATAAATTCCACCCATAAGCTCATGCTTCTCTTGCGGCCATCGCTTAGCTTGAGCACCGCACATCCGGGCAACGATCCGTCATCCACGAAATTCAGAACTCCCATTTGATTAAGGTATAAGACAATCTCAAATTCCGTCGGTGATATAACGTCTAGGCCTTCGTATCTTCCGTTGCACTCCACCAGAGACGATATAAATCTCGGTTCTTGAGCTTCGACTTCTCTAAGGACGTCCTGTACGACTTTGCACACTTCTCGGATGGTCTTGATGGTGGTCATTTTTCGCGGCATCACTCTCTCTGCCCAAAATTTCCCTAGCTGATATGACAGCTTCATCTGGGCAGACAGCATATCCTGCGGAACCAGCATGTTTTGTTCGCCGTATCTCATGTCCTCGTACTGATCGTTTACCACTTTACTGGACAACATATACAGTCATTATAAACGAATTAATATAAAATAAAAATACAGAAATTCGCTTGAAAAAACTCAATTTTTTGAAGTAGGTAATTCTAATTCTATTAAACTGATACAAAGACACGCGACGACGGACGATTGCGATCGTGTACTACACCGTTTTACTCATGGCCAGGATCCTCGTGTCGGGCGGAACGCGGCTCAACATCGGTGGGGTAATGTCACTGATCCTACGGGGTGGGCGTGTCATGCGATACCGCCCATTTCGCAGCTATTGATCCGGGGCGGTCTCCGTCTCGGAGTGGCCACCGCACACTCTGGACGAGATAATACTTCTTTTTTAGGATTTTTTGAATGCGTTCCCTTTACTATAATAACTCTCCTTCTTTCCATACTCACACTATCACTGTGTAATGAATAATTTTTTCCCTTAACATGTTTTTTTATGCCACATTATTCTACATTATCGTTTATGCGTAGGTATGTGTGTGTTTGTATCTTGCCAGAAGAAATCTGATATCATTTGAAATGAAGCGTTTTCATAATTTATTATAAAATAAAAACCGATAGATGATATTGTTTTTTTTTTTTAATTGTAACAAGATCTGTCTCGGACGATAATTATAATAAAACAGTACTTTTATAAGGTTTTATTGATTACAATAAAAATAATTATAACGCTCCTGTTTTATGTCATATGTTTACTATCTTATCTAAATGGTCATTATAGTAAAATAATTAGATAGATATCCGTCGCACGACATGTTTTTAAACAAATCTATAATTTATTGAAATACTTAGTCAGATTATTATAATAATTAAATACATATAGTTAGTTTGATTTTCCTCGGTATGTAATTTGTACGTGTATAGTCTTGTGATAAATATATAAATACCTCCTAAGAAAAAGGTTGTAATTCAACTTTTTTTAGAAAAAAAAAATTTCAATTTTACACAATTTAAAATTTATTTAAAGAACAAAAGAAAAAAAATAAGTTACGATCTCTTTCTTAGGCAGTTTCGATATGTTGTGCCCTTAAATCGAATTAATGCCCTTCAAATACTTACAACAATGAATAAATTTAATAAAATAATGCAAGAACCTTTTTCAACATTTTGGGTGAGTTTTTATTGCAAGTCAGTAAACTTTTTTTTTTGTGAGATATTTTTACTGAATAAGTTTACTTATAGTCAATTGAAGTGGATCTCTATACATACTATTTTAGTAATATTTGGATCTTGTTATTGTTTGATTATTATTTACTTCTTTGTTTGCACAGTAAATAGAATATATTGATAAAATAATCCGTATTAGGTTTTACTATATAGACATAATGTTATTCTTTTATTCACACAATTATAAGTATAAAAATTATAATTTTTACTTGAGTACAAAATAAATTTATATGTTTATATTTTAAGAAATTTGATTGAGAATTCCATCTCTGATTCTATCTTTTAATTTTTTTTTGAACATATAAATCATTCGTGTTGGGATATTTTACTATTGGCGGTTTCTATCATATGTTATGTTTTTATATTAAATTAAAAAAAAATTTCATGAAAATTTTATGAATAAATCATTTGATTAATTTCGATTTTCTTTTAGTTTTTGCTGATGTAATAAAATTTTCCTGTAGTTCAACCAAATTGGTGTTGAATACTTTTTTGTGATAAAATTTTATCAACTTAAATAAATTGTTTGAGTTTGTTTTTAAATAAATAAATAAATAATTCATACTAGTAAAAAATGTTTTATTTATAAAAGAATGGCTTATAAGCAGAAAATTACATGTAGGTAACAAATTATAAAAACAACAAAAAAAAAAAAAAACTTTTTACTGACTAATATTGCACATTATTTTATTTATTTTAATACATTGTAATGTTCTTAATTTCGACTTTATACGTTTAAACGTTACAAAAGATAAGCAATATTATCAATTGCTCAATTTTTTACTACATTGTCTTACATTTATTATGAATAAATATTTTATTATATACATAGGAAAAAAACAATAAATGTGTCTTGTGTTATATGTCTGACTAAATTTCTAAACCTATTTATCATGACTTAGACTGGTATTTGCTTGTATAGCTCAGTATTGAATTGTTAAGACTAGGTAGATGTCGCGAGCAACCCAATTTCTCTACAGTTTATCGAAAGCCCTCGAGTTCGTAATTATCTCGCGACTGAGTCTCCAGACATGTTTGGAGGCACTTTCCAATGAGGCCGGTGTCTTGCCTTTGAATAGATCCAAATGCGGTATAAAATAGTGAGGACATCGTCTGCATTGCAAACACGAGATTAGCTGTAACAGAATGCCGTTTATCCTATCCGCTATACTGGTCTCTTCCCATTCCATGTCCCGGGGATGTTTTTCGCATTCATATAGCAAAAGAGTTTTGATGTGATAATTGGTGATTGGGTTGCCGGGCAGATCCAAATGTCTGTCCCTAAGAGTTTTCAGTATGCTCAGGCAGCGTCTCCTACACCCGCCGTATAGGAGTCTGTTTTCTACGTCCGTGAAAGACATGACCCAAGCGTCACCTTCCATCGAGTTCTGCTTGCCGTGCATAATAACGCTGTCCTTGGACAGTAGATCGAATCCCTCGGTTTTTACCTCGACGATCAAGTTGGGATGCGGCCACGTTAATTGCGGCACGGGCCAGTGAGCCGCCGATCTGGGCCAAACACCCGCACATTTAAACGACGGTGTGATCTGCACTACATATCTATCTCTTATGCGAAGTTTTACCTCACCCGTGTCAGACATCATTTTCACCATATCCCGATAAATGCACTTGTCACAGGCTTGAGCGACTAGAGTTTGAAACCTCGACCGGATCTTCCTGGCGGACAGATAGCCTGATGCCGTGATAAATTCCACCCATAAGCTCATGCTTCTCTTGCGGCCGTCGCTTAGCTTGAGCACCGCACATCCGGGCAAAGACCCGTCGTCCACGAAATTGAAAACGCCCATTTGGTTCAGGTACAACACGATCTCGAACTCGGTTGGCGACACGACCTCGAGACCTTCGTAACGGCCGTTGCATTCTGCCAACGATGAAATGAACCTAGGTTCTTGCGCTTCCACTTCGTGCAATACCGTTTGCACGACTTTGCACACCTCACGTATAGCCTTTGCGGTGCTCGACTTTCTCGTCTCTACTCGTTCTACGTAGTATTTATTCAATTGGTACAACATTTTTGATTGTGTGGCCAACATGTCCGAGGGCAACAGCATGACCGGCCGGCAGTCACCTGTACCAAGTTTTCTGGCGAAACTCCCGTTAAACGCACAATAATGTGGCACCGTTCGATTTAAATACGCTGTTTATTTTTTCGGAGGTGTCGGATCCATAAAAGGTGTCGCATGGTGCTGTTGTACAACGAAAGACTATTGAACTGGAGCCCTGGCCGTTGCGTACGGGTCCCGTCCCACCGGATGACTCGGCACCGGCTCCCAGTCACGCCCACACGACCAATGCAAAACTCGTAAAATGTGCGCGCGCCTTGTCGATCGATACATCTCTCGCGAGGGAACACATTAAGCGCACCTCAGGTTCGTCACGGTGAGTTTATCACCCAAAATGGTTTTTGTTGTATTTCTTCTTCTTTTTTCGTCCCTTTTAGATCACATTCTGTAGTAACGATTTACGTGTATCGTCGTAACATGTGCCAAAGGTGCAAAATATCACTTTGGCCTGAAGATAGAAACAAGCTAAAAGTATTAATTAATGAAAATATTTAAACTTGTATATTATTATANAGGAATGTTCTATTGACTTCGACTGTTAGCTATTGTTTCGTTTGAACAAACTTTCTTTGTTAGTCACGCCGATCGTTTATCAATTTAAATATTTAAAAAATGACTTTCTAATTTGAATATTTACTCTAGTCAACGTTTAAAAATACTAGATCTGAGTTTTGTGTCATTTCTTTGGTACAATTCAATCTTAACCGAAAACAATTTACGGTTGTCTAAGTTCGTCTCAGTAATGAGAAAGCTAAAAGTATTAATTAATGAAAATATTTAAACTTGTATATTATTATAGTTGTCCAATTTATATAATAAGGATCATTGAATGATTAAAAATTACTTTTGGTGTTTTCATTGAAATTCTTATATCTTTAATGAGTACATTTTCTGAGTATTTTTTTAGAATTAATAAATATTCATATCAGTTAGTTTTTTTTTTTTTACTATAAAATTGTGTGATTGTAATAATGATGAATGTAATTTGATTGAAAATAGGGTGAATTGAACATTTCAAAATATCATACAAACTAGGAAACTACTAAAATTGTATTTTTTTTGTTATCTTCTCGTCGTTGATTTAGTAGGTGTACAATTTATTTGTTTTGATAACGAGACACTAATCTAATTTAAATGGTAGTCCAGACAAGTAACATGTTTTTATTTGATTTTTTGATAAAGTATATATGTAAAACCAATGCGATAGTTTTTTATTTACTTTCTCATATCTAAACAGATAAATTGTATTTTTTATTCGTCTGCCGTTGTTCGTCAAGTTATTAGTTCGTCGACCTCATGTAAATTAATATTAAAATGCACTTATGTCTCAAGGCCAGTTGACCAGCCGTGATAAAATTGTCACTAATTTTTTACTTCTTGTACAAAATAATTAAATTGACACTAGTAAGCGCAATAAAATTATAATAATTATATCGAAAACATTAATCGTGTTGTTGCTGTACATAGTGTTTTATTAAATTCAATTCCCGTAAAAACTATGGTCGTTAATCATCAAGTGAGATGTTTTTTTTTTAAATTTTTATTACCGTTTTTAATTGTTTACTTTTTTTATGCGTTCAACTTGTTTTTTCGGAATACAAGTTAATTTATGTAACCAGTGATAAATTGTTAAAATACAGTTTGCTATCAAATAAAATCGTATAGCAGTTTTTATTTTACATGTGACTTTATACTGAAAATATAATCGTGGCAAGTTCATCTCTGGGTAAAGCATAAAAAGTTCAATGTTTTCCAGGGTAGCTACTACGCTGTATAACTTCTGGGAGGACTTTTCCGGAGGGGGTACGTCACTTTGGATTACTGTAGCAATTTTTCGTCGGCGCGGGATTTTAGTTGGAGGGGTTGTACAAAAAGGGGGCGAAACTCGATACGAAATAAGGAAATATCGTTTGTGCTGGCGGATNCGAGATGTTTTTTTTTTAAATTTTTATTACCGTTTTTAATTGTTTACTTTTTTTTATGCGTTCAACTTGTTTTTTCAAAATACAAGTTAATTTATGTAACCAGTGATAAATTGTTAAAATACAGTTTGCTATCAAATAAAATCGTATAGCAGTTTTTATTTTACATGTGACTTTATACTGAAAATATAATCGTGGCAAGTTCATCTCTGGGTAAAGCATAAAAAGTTCAATGTTTTCCAGGGTAGCTACTACGCTGTATAACTTCTGGGAGGACTTTACCGGAGGGGGTACGTCACTTTGGATTACTGTAGCAATTTTTCGTCGACGCGGGATTTTAGTTGGAGGGGTTGTACAAAAAGGGGGCGAAACTCGATACGAAATAAGGAAATATCGTTTGTGCTGGCGGATTTCAATGTTTGTATGTCCGAAAATCCATGTCGCATAAAGGGATTTGGTTTTAACGAGGAGAACAACAATAATAATATTTCTTCTGGTGCTGGTGTGACGTATGGCCCACATCGACGAGCGACCATTGCACGTTGTCTTATAATAGCAATAATAAATCATTTGTTTTAGAATAAACGTGGGGAGGACACCCGCGATCAAGACTCGGTCGGTGGCGCGTTTTATTTTTGGGCTGTTGTTTGACGCTGTTGATTATGGTGGCGCCTAAGCGGAACTCCGGTCGGTTTTCACATGCCGAGAGCTACTCGAAATATTATTATTTTTGCTATTGTCTGAAAACCTTAAGTATTGAAGGGGTGTAAATTGTGTAACACTATATTGAGTGTTTTTGTAGCACCGTCGATTCTGTAAACAATATCGCTTGAATGTTTAAATTCTGTCTTAATGTGGACGAGTAAAAAGTTAAATAGCTCTTTTCAAAGATCCTCCAGTGTTTAATAGAAAAAAAAAATAACACGGAGAGTTTTACCAATTTTTAATTGTTTCTGATTGAAATTTGCACTACATTTTATTTTTTATAAATGTCATGGGAGGCTGATAATTTTGTTGTTCAATCCTATATTTACTAGTTTTTGTTGATATTTGGATTTCATAAATAGGATAAGACACGTTCTTAAAATATGATGAATGTTTTCTGTCTTACTTTTAACCAACCAACTGCTGAACATAAAGCAATAACATACACGGCGAATCGTACAAGTCTTCATAATTATTACTATCGTTTATTTAATGTTGATAATTATGTGTGGGAAGAAGGCCACCAGGGAATTGTCATCGCCTAGACACCACACATCCCTAATAAATTATCAGGGAGGTTAAGCCTATTAAAAACACGTGCGGGATGCGTATAATATTTCACATGGAAAAATATGCGTACCGTTGTTGCTGCAGAGCAAAGCGGCCCACAGTCTCCGTGAAGAGTCACACGACACAATGATGCGTTTATCTAGTTTTCATTTTTAAGCGAAATGTGCCACGACCGAAACAATTCACTATTTCTATTGAAATATGCTATAAAATCTGTCGTCTCGAATAGGTTGTTCCGTCCTGTAATGTATGAATGTAAGAACCTTATCATAACACATTTATTACCTTTTGTACCACCGTTATTAGGAATTATATAGTTTTTTGTTTTATATTTAAAGTAAACATCTTTAAAATCAAATGGTCGAGNTCTCCGTGAAGAATCACACGACACAATGATGCGTTTATCTAGTTTTCATTTTTAAGCGAAATGTGCCACGACCAAAACAATTCACTATTTCTATTGAAATATGCTATGAAATCTGTCGTCTCGTTGTTCCGTCCTGTAATGTATGAATGTAAGAACCTTATCATAAACATTTATTACTTCACCTTTTGTACCACCGTTATTAGGAATTATATAGTTTTTTGTTTTATATTTAAAGTAAACATCTTTAAAATCAAATGGTCGAGACAACTATAAAACAAACGATCAAACAAGCTTCTAATCGGCCGTAACATAAAAATACGAGTACGGCCATAAAAGTTATTACCCTCAAACGCCCATACAATTTTTTTAACACGACTTAATATGTTAATTTTAAGAATTACACCTCATTAAAGTGAACATTGATACCATCAGCCGGAAATTGATTGGGTACTTTCTGCTTAATTTATTCTACGATCGAAGTCGAGTGTTTACGACTACGTTGTGAGTTACAGCGATCAAGTGATCAATGATAACTATTTGCAGCGTCCGGTCTAAAAATGTTTGTGACATTAAAGATGCAAAACGTACGAGTCATTCACATTCCAATACATTCGACAACATTTTTAATTATATCGTTGAGTACCATTTGGCTTTGTTATATTATAACATGCATTTTATCCAACATTTTTTAGATTGTCCAAACACAGTTTATGAATATATTAATTGTTTATATATCAGTGGCGTACGCAGTACTTTTTCAAGGTAACTGACACTAAATGTTTGCGTCAGTACTTTTTTTTTTTTATTTATTCGGTAAATTTACAAAGTCAAAGACGTATTTTTAATTTCTTTACAAATGAAATATAACAGACATTTTTTATGATGGTGTCATAACTCCTTGACATTCCCCGTAATTGTGTAACTGTTAACAAAATATTATCGTATCAGATTGAAAATAACACTATTATGGGTATTTGATTCTAAAATTAAAGTTCCTAATAGTTAGTCAGTTTGAGTGCAAGTAAATATTATTTTAAATTACACTTTAACTAGCATGATAGGCGTAAAATCAAAAAAAGTTTTGTAAGGGATTTCCTAATTTTTAATTTTTTTTAAATAATATGCTTGATTTTGAAGAAATATTCGTGTATCACATATCATGACAGGCTAGTGAAATTAGAGATAAGCTCCTTAAGTCTTGGCCGGGTAAGCCAGAACTTACCTGTAAAATATATTTTTAAAATCTATGGAAATTCACTTACTTTTCAAAATGCTTATAAAGTGTAAAAAAGATGTCTTAAATTGCGTAATGTATTTGGATTTTTACTCAATGTTTTCTGTACTTTTATTATTTTATGTAAATTTATTATATAATCTATTATTTTAAAAACTTGACTGTAACAATTTTACGGTTTGTTTTTAGTAGCAAAATATTTATGTATTTACTGTACTTTATTTATTTATTATTATTTCATTAATCTGCTATTTATATTTTGAAATAATATTAGGGAGTACATTAAGTTAATACTAAAGAAACATGAGCGTCGACTGGTCACGTGCACTTATAATTGGGGTTAAAAAACTGTAGTCTAGTTGGTTAGCGAGAGAAAAGAACCCAAGCTGGATACTTGCGGGAAGTTATTATTTTGTTTGTAGTACTTAATACTCACATTTAAGTCCAGGGCATGGGTCGCGTACATCACTTATCTCGGTTAGCACTTTGCACGCGCATCAGAAACTGACGGCAATGAATGCCAATCATGCAACGAGGGATGTTGACAAATTGCAAAATGCACATCACTGGAATAGCCCCTTGTTTCATGTGTTGTCTGTCGAACAATCACCTTCGAACGTATTCAACCCTCCTTTTTTGGATAATGTGTATTCAATATTGTTATAATAACAGTAAATTATCCATGTTACTCGATATTCAATTTACTGAATTGTCAAAATACCAACATTAATTTAGTTTTTAATTTCATTATGTAATTAGAAAATAGCTGATATTTACTGGCAAACATATTTTTTTTTCATAAATTAAGAACAATGTTTTAGTTATACATTATACTTTAAGATAAATGTTAATTGTTTTCTTTTTTGTTTCAGGTGTTGAAATACTGTGATCATCTACACGGAAAATGGTATTTTTCAGAAATCAGAGCAATATTTTCGAGACGATACTTGTTACAAAACATAGCCATTGAAATATTCATGGCCAGCAGAAGTAAGTTTACACAAGTCTAGTGTTTTTCTTAAACAGTTGTTAAGTTAGATTTGGTATTCTTGCTATAAAAAATAGTAAGGGGTTGTAGGCTTTTATCTAGAAGCTTCTTACTTTTACACCATCTGCAACTATTATCTAACCTGCCAACCGTCCGGCCAGGAAGATTACAATCGCGTGTACAATGTAACGAGATATCAAACATCGTGTTGTGGATTCATTAAAACCAGGTGCTAGCACGTGTCTTACTCTGAATAGCTCGCGACCAAATTAAGTATTATATGAAATATAATAGTGTTTCGTCGGTACAGCATCCGTATAAGTATTCCATATGGTTGGCATTAAGAATGGGATTACAATATTTCCATGCGGTTGGGTTCAACGCGGTTATATTTATTAAAACATCGTCGTTTATCATTATCTTTCTTAACTAAGATAAATAATATTTCAAAAGTAATCCTAACTCGTAAGCCTTACGGGCAGCGTTCGCTGTTTTTTATAATTGTAAAACAAGCGAAATTCTTTTAAATTTAGTTGACTAAATAAACATCTCGGAACGCGTTTATGTTCAATGTTAGGTTATTCTTAAATGTCGCCCGCTTGGGAAATAAATAAAAAGAAACACATTAAGTAATCAAAAATTCAAGCGTTCGCCGTTTTTACTTAAAACAATGCGTATAATTTTTTAATAAATAATTGTTGAAAGATGTTTCACTAGAGTATCGAATTTATATCTGTAGACTCCTATACTCTGTGTATTTGAATATCATATGATGTTGCGATTAAAATTTACTTACAGAAATGTGTACGAGAACGACAGATTTTTTTTTTATTTTATATTTTTTTACATCTCGCCTGCGCGTTTGCCACCACCGCAGTTTCTTCACAACGACGACGACATTCCATTTTGTTTTTTTTTCTTTATCTCCGAGAAAAATAATATATATTACTTTTTTTCTTATTATTACTATTATCATTTTATTTTTTCATACTTGCCATAGTCGGCTTTTGTCTGTGATGTCCAAAGCCAGCCATTGGAATCCAAACTGGACATACGCAATCGGCTCTCGAAATCTCACGGCCGGTCTGAGTTCATTCCTAACACTCTCCGGTAACGTGTTGTGTACAATGCATCTAGTTTTTCTCCGTATGATTTTTTTTAATGTATTCCAACCTATATTATTTTCAATCGGTGTTTTTTCCCCTCGGCTGTTAAACGCTCGTAGCGTGGTGATTTTATTTTGGATCTTCGTCAAGACGACACGGTGTATATTTTATGACACCGGTCCTAAATTGGATAATGTAATAAATCAACAAGCCGATGATTAAGACACACAAACCGTTCCAAGCGTACAACTTAACCCGTCCGAATGAGATAGTCCACTAAAGCAGCGACAAAACAAATGTATCATTGACATTTATTATAACTAAAACGCTCTGTCAGACGTGACTCAATGTTCAGTAGTTTTTTAGTTGTTTATAAATACCCGCCCGATGACTTAAATTAAATATAACCAATTCTATATTTATGTAAGTATCTTCTGATGTCGACTCTATTCTACATTTTAGTTGGCAAATTTCTCTATATCTTCTCATATCAACACTAGAGAACATTTTCTTAAAACATTTGTGTCGCTATTTCATATTAATTATCATCGTTAAATCACCATAACCGGTTTATATCTGTTCTATCGACGATATATCTAACTCTTATTATAATCATTTGTTTAATTAACCGTATCGTTAAATTAAATTAATTACTTGTTTATTCCAATTAAATAAAAACGTTTATGTTCTTGTTAGTGTAAAATAAATTAAAATGGTTGATTAGTCTACTCTAGTTACATTATCCATCACGTATTCATTTAATTTAAGACTCATTTACCAAAATTTTTTTTATCGAAGTAAAAGCATTTCCTAAACACATCCCGTTTTTATTTTATTTTGCTGTCCATAAATATTTTATCAATATTATTTCTACCGCATAAGACACCAGTGCCAATGTAGATAATAATCGTGTTTCGCTAACGATATTTTTACCTTCCTACACGTCCATGTATGAACACGGTATGNAGTTGATTAGTTTACTCTAGTTACATTATCCATCACATATTCATTTAATTTAAGACTCATTTACCAAAATTTTTTTTTATTGAAGTAAAAACATTTCATAAACACATATCGTTTTTATTTTATTTTGCTGTCCATAAATATTTTATCAATATTATTTCTACCGCATAAAACACCAGTGCCAATGTAGATAATAATCGTGTTTCGCTAACGATATTTTTACCTTCCTACACGTCCATGTATGAACACGGTATGATTTATTGGTGTTGCATTATCTATACGCCCGTGTATTTTGGGGTTTGTGTTTGAAAACAGGAAACCAAACGTTTTGTAAATGTTCCGGAAGTGCTTTGGGGTAGACGAAAAATTATATCTTTTCACCAGCCCCTCGAGTCTGGTACTTGTGTTGTCGCTACTTGTGTGCGTGTTTTTGTTTAAGGCGGGTGTACACTGGATCAATGCTAATTCGATTTTAAAGGACAGCGAGGGCCAACAAACTCATTCGAATTTCGACCCTCAGCTTCTACTGGGTTACAACAACAATCGAGAAACGGCGGTAAAGGGTCGAGGAAACCAAATTACACATCACTCCCATTTCTCTTAACGCTCTGCCACTTTTGGTGTAATTTAACAACACCGCGATACCCGTTAAATACAGCATAAGTGTTCGAGCCTTCGAATCAGTTGAATGATTTTAAAGTTATTTTTAAATAAAAAAAATTATAAAATAAATAGTTCGATAGATTTAATAAATATGATAAATTTGATAGAGTATTGTTAAACTACCATTCAAATGAACGGAAATTAAATGTATGAATACCACATATGTGCTATTTGTGTTTTGTGTTGTCTTTAATAACTGTCCTTGCATTAAGACTTTTAAATCATTTTGATTTTATTTAAATAACTAATAAATTTATTATTAATTTCTAGCTTCTGTCATGTTTTCATTTCCTGATCAAAATACAGTCAAAAGAGTCATCAAAGCTTTGCCTAGAGTTGGAGTTGGCATTAAATATGGCTTGCCACAGACCAGGTAATTTTTAAATAAAAATTATGAATAATTCTAATTTAAGAAGTAATTTAACTATTTAACTACCAGCTGTTTTTATTTTTTTATTAAAAGAAGACGAAAAAAAAGAAAACTTATTGAGCTTTTTTTTTCTTTTACATTTTTTTATATCTTCTTCTTCTTCGGTTTTTCAAAGGCCATTGAGGCCCATTACCACCGCAACATAAATTAGCATCCACCTGTCCCTATCCTGTGCGATTGTTTCCATATTTTGTATTTCAATTTCTTCTTAAGTCTTTTTTACTTTGTCTATCCATCTTTTTGTTTTGGTCTATTCCCAAGGGGTTTCCATTTTAATACCGCTTTCATTAGGCATTTTGACCTCTATACGTGGCCAACCCACGTTGTAATTCTATGTTACTTCTATATTGTTGTGTGATATTGTTTCTTTTTTTATGTAACTGTACAATATCATTTATTTACTTTGTTTTTTAGACGAGCATCTATGATGTCTCCTAGACAATTGATGAGAAATTCTAATATGACACAAAAATGGCAGCGCAGAGAAATATCAAATTTCGAGTATCTCATGTTCTTGAACACTATAGCAGGTTAGTTCTATAACTTATATTTATTTAAATATTAGTACCGATCTATTTCCTAAGATAGCAGTCTATTTATATTACATAAGTGCTAAATTATTCAACGTAATGTAATGTACCTTAAGAATAAATGTGTTATATCCGTTATTATGTTGGAAATAACACATTGTCTTGTCAGTGGCTTTTACTTCTAATCTTAAATTATGCCCTTGCGACGGCGCTTAAACAAAAAATGTGATTTCAATTTATAGTATTGCTGCAGCTGCATAGGCAATGTATTCGGCGACATAATATAATGTTGTGTGTGTACACGCAGTTAGTAGACCGCAGACGACAGAGATCCTTCTCTCTACATTTGTGTGCCAAAGAACCAGCAGGATATTAACGTTGACGGTTATTGTGCGAGCATTTTTTCTCCACGTACAAAACATTATAATATATATATTACATACGTATAAGACACATAAGATGCGGTCTCATCTAATTGCTCAACGTCGCCACTGCGTTTATGTCTTCCAAATCACTGACAGCACCAATTAGTGTTAACGTCACGCCCGTTAGTCCCCCGACCATTCATTTCCTGAACAAACATTATTGCTCTTCTAATTTTAAACGCTAATATTTAATTTAATTTGTTCTTACATTTACGTGTTTTCTTGATTTAGATACACGTGTAAAGCAAATGCATTGTATGACGAATACATTTTTACTACAATTGTACATTGAATATTGATAATTATTAGTACTCAATTTGGGCTTAATTTAAAGAAAACCTGTTTTGAAAATCGCAACCACCTAATTTTATTTCATAATATAATTTTTCGGATAAGATCCGATTTAAAAAAAAATACGAGAAATTTAATTTCAGTTGAAATTAAAAATTAATTCATTCTAACCAAATTATAATGATTAAAAAAGAATACCTTTATAAATTTATTACACTTATATTTAAAAATATAAATATTAGCTTTTTATAAAATCATTTTTTAAATATTCGTGAGAACTAAGCTATTATTTGAGAAAGGGCAGCAAAAGCACCCTTTGATACCCTGTACGCACGCCTATGGCCATTATAGTAATAATTTTACTTATACATATGAATAAAAAAAATGTTTTATTTCAAATATGTATATAATTACAAAATATTGGGCAATATTTATTTTAATTGGGTGTCTAACTTTCTTGCCCTATGATGTTTTATTTATCATCAGTTCTCATCCCCCTTGAAGTCACTGAACTGAGGAAAATATTGAAGCTTTATTGAAAATTTTATGTTTTTCTATTCAGGGCGAACCTACAATGACTTAAATCAGTATCCCGTTTTTCCTTGGGTGTTGACGAACTATGAGTCGTCAGAAATGGACTTGGGTCTCCCATCTAATTATCGTGATTTGTCAAAGGTATGTTTTTTATATGTATTATTATTAAACTTCTGATGTTAGGTATCTAATTTTTATTTTTAATTTATTATTAGCCTATTGGTGCATTAAATCCTAGCAGAAAAGCATACTTCGAAGAGAGATTTAGTACATGGGAAAACGATAGTATTCCACCATTCCATTATGGTACACACTATTCTACAGCAGCTTTTGTACTAAATTGGCTCATACGAATAGTATGTATCTTTTTTGATAAAAAATATTTATTTTTTGTGGCAAAGTTTAATTTGACTAATGTTGTGATTTATTTTAGGAACCCTTTACAACCATGTTTTTAGCTTTACAAGGGGGTAAGTTTGATCATCCTAATCGATTATTTTCGTCAATAGCACTGTCTTGGAAAAACTGTCAAAGAGATACTTCCGATGTTAAGGTAAGAGATATAGAACTATTTCTTAAGATTTTAAAGTTATACGTTATAAATTTATAATAAATATTTTTCGTTTTAGGAATTAATACCGGAATTATTTTTCTTACCTGAAATGTTGTCAAATGATAATGAATACAAGTTGGGACACCAAGAAGATGGTACGTCTGTTGGTAATGTTGATTTACCACCTTGGGCTTCATCTCCTGAGGAATTTATTAGAATTAATAGAATGGTAATTAATTAAAACTTTTTATTTATGTTACATTTCTGAATTATAATTTATTATTCCTTTACAGGCATTAGAATCAGAATTTGTGTCTTGTCAACTTCACCAATGGATTGATTTAATTTTTGGTTACAAGCAGAGAGGTAAATAAATATTATTATAATAATAATATTATTATAAATAAATATTTACAACTAGTTATGTACAAATTAAAAAAATATGAATTTTTAGGTCCTGAAGCAATAAGAGCATCAAATGTATTTTACTATTTAACTTATGAAGGTAGTGTAGACATGGATACAATCACTGATCCAGTTATGAGAGAAGCAATTGAAAACCAAATACGCTGTTTTGGGCAAACACCATCACAGTTATTGATGGAACCTCATTTGCCAAGAAGTTCAGCTATGCATATTGTGAGTTTTTATCATATATTTTAACTATATTAAGTATTTAAATTATCTACAGTCTATTTATTAAAATTAAGTAATTAATAATTAATATTTATATCTAAATTAAAATAATTTATATTTCTTCATATTAGCTTAAAAAATTAATTTTATTGTGTTATCTAGTCGCCAATGATGTTCACAAGTATTCCTGATGATGTTTGTATGACAATGAAGTTTCCGTCCAATTCACCAATATGTCATATTTCTGCAAATACATTCCCTCAGCTACCAATGCCAGCTGTTGTCACAGTTACCAATAACATGCAATTTGCTGTAAATCGATGGAACACTAATTATTCAGGTTTGTGTAATTTTGTTACAATTAATTTTACTTTACCTAATCCTTATTTACATTAATATTATTTTAGTTACCATTCAATCTCCTAGTTATGCTGATAGTCCTCAACAGCCTAATGTAAATTTGCCACTCGTCATGGATCAAATTTTAAGTAAATTACATAATTTAATTCTATATTATAGAATGATAACTTTATACACTTATATAATTATGGTTTTAGCCCAATCAAACAATAATTCAAGTTTAACATTAAGACGCCATCTTGGTGATAACTTTAGTCAGAAATTGAAAATCAAATGGAATTGTTTTGTTACTACTGTCGATAGCCGTTTTTTGATTGTTTGTGGATTTTGGGATAATAGTTTCAGAGTTTTTTCAACAGAAACAGGTAATAATTATTATTTTAATTATTCTTTACAGTCACTTTAAATAATTGAATTATTTATTTTAGCAAAAATTGTCCAAATTGTATTTGGTCATTATGGAGTTGTAACTTGTTTAAGTCGCAGTGAATGTAATATAACCTCAGACTGTTACATAGCAAGTGGTTCTTCAGACTGCACAATATTGTTATGGCACTGGAATGCTAGAAGTCAAACTATTGTTGGCGAAGGAGATCATCCAACTCCTAGAGCTACCTTAACTGGTCATGAACAACCAGTAACATCTGTAGCTATATCAGCTGAACTTGGATTAGTAGTATCAGCATCATCAGGTTTGTTTATTTATATTTTAATATTTAGTAGGAGAGCCAAAATTAAATTATACTTTTTTCTGATTTTCAAGGAGGTCCAGTTTTAATTCATACTACATTTGGTGATCTTCTAAGATCATTAGATCCTCCTAAAGGATTTGATAATCCTGAATGTGCAGTTATGTCACGCGAAGGAATAATTGTAGTAAACTATGAACATGGAAGTATAGCAGCTTTTACCATCAATGGAAAAAGACTGAGGCATACAACTCACAATGATAGTATTCAAGTAAATATTTTTATTTTCTTTATTGTATCATTTAGAAATATATTTTATAAATATTTTAACCATTTTTGTTATTATAATTTTAGTTGATTGTTAAATTAAATTTTTTATGATAAACTTTTTTTGTTTGTGCAGTGTATGTTACTTAGTAGAGATGGGGAGTATTTAATGACTGGTGGCGATAAAGGAATAGTAGAAGTATGGAGAACATTCAATTTATCACTTTTATATGCATTTCCAGCTTGTGACAGTAGTGTCAGATCATTAGGCCTTACCCATGATCAAAAGTAAAATACTAAAAAATTACATTTTGTAATGATTCTTTCTAATTAAATATTATTTTTAGATTCTTATTAGCTGGTTTAGCTACAGGATCTATTGTAATATTCCACATTGATTATAATAGGTGGCACCATGAATTTCAACAAAGATATTAATTAATACCTTGTATGACTAAATATTGCATTTACCTTTTGAGTTTTTCTGTAACCAACTAAAATACTTAAAATATTAAAAAAATGTATGTATTATTTACAAAAAAATACTCAACAAGTGCAAAAATTGACTACCAGTTCAGAGAAATTATTGATGAATTTACTCAAAATAAAATAAATTTAAATTTATATGCTCATCAATGGTTGTTAATCATAATAATTAATAAATTTCTATTTAATGTTACCACAATTTCTAAATAACTTTGTTTTTACTATTTAAATTGCAGATAATTTTTTATAGTGTACCTTTTTTATGAATCATGAATGTTTTATATTTTTTTCAAATTTAAATAGTACATTTTTTTTAAATATAATTGTAATTCTAAAAATAATGTATTATTAAAAATTGAAATTCTTAAATTTTAGTTGATTGTGTATAATGATTTTTATTATATTATCAAGTGTGTTAAAAATTATTCTGTAAATTAATTAGGACACTAAATTGGTAACTGATTATTCTTTATTTTTTAAAGAATATATATTTTTCTGAAGACAATTATTAAAATGAATTTATAAAATTAATATTTTAATTATTTTGTGTTCTTGGATGATATTTTAAAAAAGTAGATTGAGTGTTATGTAAACTAAAATATTTAGATTTTGTAGAAAGATTCATTCATTGCAGGCATTTATAAGTAATGTATAATATTAATAATTGCTTTCTATACATTTATTTAATCATTCCATTAAAAAATCATTCCGTAAATTAGCTTAATGTAACAATAATTTGTATTTATTGTGATAATTTCTATGAACATTTTATAATTCCAATTTTTAATAGAAAGTTTTTCATTGATTATAATTTTACAGAGTTATGAAAGCAAATATTCTGCACTTGTGATTTTTATTTTATTTTATTATTAAATCCATAGTTTTGAAAGTACCTAAATTAACTAAGTATTAAATGTATTATGTGGCACAAATATATAACCTAATTATTTTTTCAAAAGTATTAATATATGGATACCAGTGGTTTTATTAGTATTTAATATACTTGATTAAAACTATTATTATATTTAAATATGAATTAAAATATTTGTCTGATTTATTAATACTTATGCAGTAAAATTAGTTGTATTACTGTGATATAAGCTTAAAAATTGTTCTGTAAATATGTTATTCATTAAAAGCTTCTGAAAACATCATTTTTAATTAAAAATATATACAACTTAATGCTAACTTAATGTTATCATTGAATAAATCATTTAAACTATAGGTTAAAGATTGCGAATAAAATCATTATGCTAGTATTATGGAGACTTGATAGTTAAAATATTTTCTGTCATTAAGTAACTTAATAGTTTTACATCAACTTTCTTTGTATAAATTGTATTTTAAATTTAAACAGTATTTTAAATACAGTAATTACAGTATTTACCAATATTATATATTGAAAAACAAATTTTCCTTTTTCATTTAATTTTTTGGTTAAATGATACACTAGTCTTAACTTAAAATTGTGCAATATAAACTGAATTGTAAAGCCATAATAATTCTATCAATTCATTTAACTTGTGCCACTAAACTACTAACAATTTTTAGAAAAGCTCATGATTGTTTTATGTTATTCTTTTATATTATGTAAATGAACATTTTTGTGACTTAATTATGAGTACTAGTAACCAAGGTTGTGGCCAGCTACTAAAGGCCGAATTAATTACATTAATTAATTTATATAATGAAAAAATGTAATGAATAGTAACCATAAATGATTTTAAGTTTATTATTAGAAATGTATAATTTATTTAAAAATTTTGCGGTTCTTGTATGTAATTATATTTATTTTATGTTATTTAACTAATTAAAGAAAAAATAAATATTTGATTGTTTTAAATTAAATAATTGTAATAGTTTTGCATAAGAAACAAATTTCTGTCAAAATTGTTTTTAGTTTTATAGTAATCTATTCTTAAATCAAATTTAATGGGGTATGTTTATATTTGGAGTAGTTATTTTTAGAAATTGACTTCATTTCAACATAAAAAAAAAAGTTATTTTTAATTTTTATACATTTTCCTACAAGTAATTTTTACATTTGCACATGCAATATACAAATATTATCATCAAAAGCATATAATTACCAATTTTTATGTTATTAGCCATTATTATAATTATATTTTTGTTATTACTTATATATTATATGAATTTTAGTAAAATTATTTTATGAAATTTTTTAGTAATTTGTCATCTACATACAAAGGTTTTGTTGTTTTAACAATTTATAAATTTTTTCTTTAACATAAATTATTTTAAATAACTTTCCATTTTTTTTTTTATCTCATTTAATCACTACCATTAAAATATTTTGTCTGTATTAATTTGACTCATTACTTTATTAATATTAACTAATTGTATAATATTTAATAAATGTTTAATGTACTCTTATGTTTTATTAATTTTTAAATCTTATCATTGTTTCTTAAAAATAATCTTCATATTCTTCTATGAAGATTATTTTAGAATAATATAAAGCTCAATTAAATCTTTATCGCATAAAATAACTTAATAAATTTAAAGTTCCACTGCATGTAGTCTTTTTTTATAAGTTTTTTTAAATAATTTTGATTAATATTTCATTACACAATCAATATGGTAATATTTTTTATTAGGTTTTAATAGGATAACTAATGTATGCATCTTTTTCGATGAAACATAAAATACTCGTAAGGACAGAATTCTATTCTTAAGTGTTTCCAAACTTTATTGAATAAGGTGCTCAATTAATAATAAAATAATAGTTTAATTTTAAGTAAAATAATCGCTTATTAACAACAATTAAACACGATCACAACTTTGAAACTTTATATTATTATACAATTTCTGATATACTTTCAATAACCAGCCGTCAATCCCTGCGGACATGTTACGTTGCTTTGTACAAATGTTTTAGATATTCTCCGTGTTGTGTGAACTATTAAAATGCTTGATTTTATTTAAAATAGATTTAGTTAATATAAAGGATCATGATAATGATAGACGTTAGGTAAAATTTTTCATTTAACAAAGTTAGTAATTTTACAATGAAAAAAGTACATATGTTAAAAGTTAACACATCAAAGTTATTTAAGAAATGTGTATAACATATTTTAATTCTTAAATAAAATAAAATTTGTTTTATGTTGAAATCCTTAGCTAATGTGCAAATATTTCAATATTGGTCTTAGTAAAAATAATTTCAATGTTTTATATACCTGTTACACAATCCAATTTTCTTGAAAAATATCTAAATAATAACTATGACAGTTTTTTTTCACTGTTCTATTGAAATTTATTTTTGAGTTATTTTAAAATTACTATTTGGGAGGGACTTAGTCCCTCCAATTTCAAATATATCCCTTCTAAAATTTCAGAAAAATTACATAGTTATATAAAAAAAATTTAGAGAGGGGAATATCATATATAAAAAAAATTTGTTGTTAAAATTATCTATGGTAAACCCTTTTAGAGAAACTTTCTAGTTACTCTATCTACGGAATCATAGATTTTTTAAGACAAAAAATTCCAGATCATTATATCGTGACCAAGTTCGAAGGTTCACAGTAATGTATTTAACCGTGAACAAAATTTGGAAAGATTTTTCTTGGAGAAATGTAGTAATCAATAACGTACCAGAAAATTTTAAATTATGTGTTTTTTAAAAAATTACTTTTTTTAGTCATCAGATTTTTTTTAAGTGTACTTATAAGCATACTTAAAAAATAACTTAAAATTAAAAAAACAATAGCATGTTGCTATATAATATTTTCAAAAATTATGTTGAAATAATTTTACTTTTTTATACGTATGTTTCAAATTTTACATGATCTGCTAGTTCATTATTAATATCCTAATTAAGATAAAGTATGTCGAATGAAAAAGGGATTATTAAAAAATAGTATTTCCCATAAAAAAATTATATTGATCAATACACTTTTCAATAAGTTATAGCATTATAAAGTTAAAAATGTAAAAAATAAAATTGAGAATTTTCACACAATAATAGCATTTGGTAGCCATTTTCACCGTGAAGACAAAATAAAGTCCGAAATTTTTTTTTTACATAATAAAGTAGATTACATTAGCTTTAATTTAATATATATAGAAAAGTGTCAGACTTTCCGAAACACTTTCAAAAGTTAAGTTAAAAAAAATAATTTTTTCTGAAAAAGTTGTCATTTTAAATCCCCCCCTGTGGGCAAATAAAGGGTCACATATAAAAAAAAAATATACCAAATGAAAGGTAATGATATCATGCATTTATATTAAAAAAAATTATATTGATTTGGTTATTTTTAAAAAGTTATAGCAATTTTAAGTAAAAAAAATTGAAAAAACTTCAAAAATTAGTGATTTTTAAATTAGTAATTTTTTTGGAGGTTTCCCCCATTTACGGGTAACGAGGGAACTATTTTAATTTTTGAGGGTAATGTCTTCGACTAGATACGATTTGTGATCTTTTGACGTATCATTGAAAGAAATCGGTTCGGTGAGAGCTGAGAAAAAGTAGTGACAGTCACAAAAAAAAAAAAAAAACATCATAGTAAAATAATACCTTCTCAGCTTTGCATCGAAGCTAAAAAAACAATCAAATTAAATTTATAAATTAATGAACAATAATAAAAAAATCAAATAAAAACTGGCCTGACAGATGTTTGATGTAAAATTCCAAGTTTGGAATTAGTCCTGACCATATACTAGAAACGCACCAAGTTAAAACATAAAAGAAAAAACAACAAAACAAAGTTTATAAAATCTACAAAACTACGGTATACGTCTGTTTTGTTTTTAGGTAGATGGTAGTTAGTAATTAAAACGGAAAATCATTGCCCATGCAATGATTCCCAAACAACTATAATGCTCTTAAGTTTCAATAAATGTGTTGTGCGTCATTCAAATGGTGGCATACACTCAGCAACAGTACAACGGAACAATCGTGCAACTATTAAAAAAAGTTACTAAGAAAAATATTGAATTTTTGAAAACATTGTGGTATTTACACGTACTGGCAAAAATTTCCACAGACGACTGTGTAAAACGTGAATACTGAAATATCAGAGATATAGCAACTCGTTAAACAACTAAATAACGATATTTGTATTGAGTTGCTTAACAAGGAGAAATTTACTGTACCGTGTGAAACATATGCAAATCGAGGGAAAACTGGAAAACCCATAAAATGATGATAGGACAAAAATTTCTGATGCACTTGTTCCATTAAATTAGATTTGAAGTAAGAGCACAGAAGTGGACATGATTAAATCTGTCGGATTGGCTACAACCATCAAGGGTTATTGCTCGTTCACACCTAACGACATCCGGCGATAATGGCCAAAGGATGGAAATACGCACAAAACTTGTTCAACAATGATTTCATCGATCACGTGGTGAGGGCCTCCCCCGTTGCCCGGGCTGCATCGCGTGGAGGTGGGGATAGGGCTTTGCACAGGTTTGGGATATAAATCATAACACACAAACGACAATAAGATACGAATACTACCTAAGGCATCGTTCAGAACCAGCGCCTCTGGTCATCCTGGGCCAACAATAGTTTTATCGATGGGATCGAATTTTTCGCGCAATGTCTATTGTGATCGGTTTATCATAAACCACTCGATTACTTTCAAAATAAATACAATATTGGGAAAACATTTTTAATTTCTTTTAGTTACATATATTTTTTGATTTATCAGCTAGAAATTACTTTTTATAATCATCCATTATAACTTATAGGGGTGTCAACTTTATTTTTTTAAAAGGTAACGTAAATAATTTATTATTTTATTTAATAGATAATTATATAATTAAGAAAATGATAACAACTTTGGACTAGTATTTCGAAAGTTATTCTCATTTTTATACCTAGACAGGAGGAAGAGTACGGCGCGGAAAATGACTAATGATAAAAATAGCTGCACCTACTCCTTACCACAGTCATATCTTTAAATTGTTAATAGCTTCCGAAGTACTGGTCAAAAGTTGTTATCGACCAGTCATTTTCTCAATCAGATTATTTTCTACTTTATAAATTAGTAATATGTGTAATCATTTAAAAATAAAATTTGACACCCCTTTAAGTTATAAGGGATGATTCTAAATAGTCATTATTAGCTGATAAATCAAGAACTATATGTAACAAAAAGAAATAAACATTTTTTTCCAATATTGCATTTATTTTACGAGTAATCGAGTGGTTTATGATAAATCGATAACTTTGTATATGAAATTTTCGAACAGTACCGACGCAGACTAATAAAATGCAGTCAGGCACTAATGTTGAATAGATCTAACACCAATTACACTGTCATATCATTTATTACATAAATCACAACATCCGATGAGAAATCTTAAAAATTTTATTTCATGTAGTATTCAAGGGAACAGATTTTTATAATATATTTAAAACTGAACAGAAAAAAAATGTTAATATATTAAAATTTTTATGTATATGTATGTCAGTATAAAATTTTCAATATATACATAAATTTTAAATACAAGTAGTGTTATTTTAACATAAAAAATAAAAAATTCGAACATATATAAAATTTTTGTCACATCTTATTAAAATTTTCTTTTACAGTGTATCCGTTAAAAACTTTTAGTATACACGATGATTTTTTTTATCATAACCTACTCAATTACTTGCAGAATATATATAATTTAAACATTTTTTTTTTTTGATTTCTTTAGTTACACGTTATTCTTGAATTATTAACTATTTAAAACTTTTTATGTTCATCCCTTATGCTTTGTAAGAGTGTCAACTTTGTTTCTTTAAATAAGAACACAAATTTTTAATTTAATAAAATGTTTGGATTTTTAATTCAATAGTAAATGGAATTTGAATTTTTAGTATAACTTTATTAGTTTATTAGATATAAACATTTAAAGTTTCAAATTTTTGAGTTAATATACATGTATAATACACAAGGCATTACAAATACAGGTAGCTAATTGGTTTTATATGACATCGATATTAGCAGGTACACAGCATTGTTATCACTATCAATGGTAGTAAGGCACATTGTTGTGAGTTTATAAATACACTAACTGACAATACAGACAGTATATCTATTGTTAGTCATAATTGATAATAAACAATCTGTGACTGTGACAGCAATATCATAAAAAACCAATTAGCTACCTGTATTTGTAATGCCTTGTGTATTATACATGTATATTAACTCAAAAATTTGAAACTTTAAATGTTTATATCTAATAAACTAATAAAGTTATACTAAAAATTCAAATTCCATTTACTATTGAATTAAAAATCCAAACATTTTATTAAATTAAAAATTTGTGTTCTTATTTAAAGAAACAAAGTTGACACTCTTACAAAGCATAAGGGATGAACATAAAAANTAAAGAAACAAAGTTGACACCCTTACAAGGCATAAGGGATGAACATAAAAAATTTTAAATAGTTAATAATTCAAAAATAATGTGTAACTAAAGAAAAAAAATTAAAATGTTTAAATTATATATATTCTGCAAGTAATTGAGTGAGTTATGATAAAAAAATCACCTGTATATATGTGAACATTTTAGTAATACTACCGAAAAAAAGTTTTTATTAAGCAAGTAAAATGTCAAAAATGCTGTCAATAAAATTATTACCATCAAAGATTAAGGCGATTTATTTAAAATATAATGTAAACAGCCAACATAAATGAATATAAAAATAATTACAACAAAAAACTAATTAGGACAGCCATTTTCGATGGCATAATTGATTATATAAGTATAACCATGTTGATTAGCTTCATAAATGGTATTTCTACTCCATGGACAATGATTTTCATGGGCGTATTTTAAACAATTAAATTGACCATTTGCAGCAGCCAGTCTTGTTGTGCCTTCGTCCCATTTGCATTTATTTTCATGGGCATATTTTAAGCAATCTAAATTACCATGCACAGCAGCTGTAACTATTGTACCCTCATCCCAATGACATACATTTTCATGAGCAAATATCAAACAGTCAATACAACCACTTGCAGCAGCTTCCCTTGTTGTGCCTTCATCCCATTCACAACCATTTTTATAGGCATATTTAAGGCAGTCTAAATGACGATTTGAAGCAGCCCCTCTGGTCGTACCTTCGATCCAATTAGATCCATGTTCATAAGCATATTTTAAGCAATCTAACTTGCCATGTGTGGCAGCTGTAACTATTGTTCCTTCATCCCAATTACATCCATTTTCATAAGCATACCTTAAACAGTCGAGACAACCACTTGCTGCAGAAGCTCTAGTTGTATCATCATCCCATTCACAACCATTTTTGTGGGCGTATATTAAACATTCTAAATGCTCATTAGAAGCAGCTTCCCTTATTGTTTTTTTATCCCATTTACACCCATTTTCATGAGCATATTTTAATATTTCTAGATTACCTTTTAAAGCAGCAGCTCTAGTTGTGCCTTTATCCCATTCGCATCCATTTTCATATGCATATTTTAAACAATCTAAATAGCCTCCTAAAGCAGCACCTTTTGTTATACCTTCATCAAACTTACATCCGATTTCATGAGCATATTTTAAACAATCTAAATGGCCTTCTAAAGCAGCAGCTCTAGTTGTGCTTTCATCAAATTTGCATCCTTTTTCATGAGCATATATTAAAATTTTTAAATCACCATTCGAAGCAGCTACTGCCGTTATTGTTTCATCCCATTCGTATCTATTATTTTCATATGCATATTTTAAACAATCTAAATTGCCTTCTAAAGCAGCAGCTCTAGTTGTGCCTATATCAAATTTGCATTCGTTTTCATGAGCATATATTAAAATTTTTAAATCGCCATTGGAAGCAGCTACTTCCGTTATTGATTCATCCCATCCGCAACCAATTTCATATGCATATTTGAAACAATCTAAATATCCTTCTAAAGCAGCAGCTCTAGTTGTGCTTTTATTACATTTGCATCCGTTTTCATGAGCATATTTTAAGCATTCCAAATTACCATATTTTGCAGCTTTCTCTGTTACGTTTTCATCCCATGGACATCCATTTTCATGAGCATATATTAGGCAATCTAAATTACCGTATTCTGCTGCAGCTTTAGTTGTTCCTTTATCCCAGTCACGTCCATTTTCATGGGCATATTTTAAACAATCTAAATCACCTAATGAAGCAGCATATCTAGTGATGCCTTCATCCCATTTGCAACCATTTTCGTGGGCATACTTTAAGCAATTTAAATTACCATTCACGGCAGCTGCAGATAAAGTAAATTCAGCCCAATTGCATCCATTTTCATGAGCATACTTTAAACAGTCTAAACAGCCGCTTACTGCAGCATGTCTAGTTGTACTCTCATCCCAATTACATCCATTTTCATGTGCATATTTTAAAATTTCTAAATAACCTCCAAAAGCAGCACCATTTGTTATTCCTACACTCCATTTGCATCCGTTTTCATGAGCATACTTTAAACAGTCTAAACAACCATTTTCCGCAGCAACTTTAGTTGTTTCATCATCCCATGTGCATCCATTCTTGTGGGCATATATTAAACAATCTAAATTACATTTATAAGCAGCAGAACTAATTGTACTTTTTGACCATGTGCATCCATTTTCATGAGCATATTTTAAAATTTCTAAATCGCCATTAAAAGCAGCTAGTTCCATTATTTTTTCATCCAATTCACATCCTTTTTCATATGCATATTTTAAGCAATCTAGATGTCCATTTGCTGCTGCAGCTTTTGTTGTTTTTTTATCCCATTTACATCCATTTTCACGAATATATTTTAAGTTTTCTAAATTACCATATTTTGCAGCTGCTTCTGTTGTGCATACATCCCATGGACATCCATTTACATGAGCATATTTTAAGCATTCTAAATGCCCATTTGCAGCAGCTGCTGTTGTTGTTGTTTTATCCCATTTACATCTATTTACATGAGCATATTTTAAGCATTCTAAATGCCCATTTGCAGCAGCAGCCTTTGGGGTGTTTTGATCCCATTTACATCCATTTTCATGTGCATATTTTAAACATTTTAAATGCCCATTTCTAGCAGCAGCCTTTGTGGTTTTTTGATTCCATTTACATCCATTTTCATGTGCATATTTTAAACATTCTAAATGTCCATTTGCAGCAGCGTCTTTTGTTGTTGTTTTATCCCATCGACATCCATTTATATGAGCATATTTTAAGCATTCTAAATGCCCATTTGCAGCAGCTGCTGTTGTTGTTGTTTTATCCCATTTACATCTATTTACATGAGCATATTTTAAGCATTCTAAATTACCATATTTTGCAGCTGCTTCTGTTGTGCTTACATTCCATGGACATCTATTTTCATGTGCATATTTTAAGCATTCTAAATGTCCATTTGCAGCAGCTTCTGTTGTTGTTGTTTTATCCCATTTACATCCATTTACATGAGCATATTTTAAGCAGTCTATATGACCATTTGCAGCAGCAGCCTTTGGGGTGTTTTGATCCCATTTACATCCATTTTCATGTGCATATTTTAAACATTCTAAATGTCCATATTTTGCAGCTGTTTCTGTTGTGCTTACATCCCATGGACATCTATTTTCATGTGCATATTTTAAGCATTCAAAATGTCCATTTGCAGCAGCTTCAGTAGTCGTATATTCATCCCATTCACATCCACTCTCGTGAGCTAGTTTTAATGTTTCTATGTCACCAATTGTAGCAGCTTTTCTCGTCGTACCTTTTCCAAATGGGCATATTATTTTGTCTCCGGAATATCTATTAATAATTCCTAATTGGTAACATAAATTATGTTTTTTTAGCTGTATTAAAATTTTATTTACATTACTAAAAAATATCTAATCAAGAGAGTAACAGTACAAATATAATTATAAAAAACAATAATACTATTTATATTATTATTATTTTTATCTTATATAATTTAAATTATGACCTATAATGAAGTTCAAAAGTAAATCCAACCAACAGTTTTTAATTTTTAATTTAAATAAAAATGTATTCGTAAGTTAAATATAATTATTAAAATTTTTAATATATAGATTCCAAACCAGAATGGGCATTTAATTTTGAAAAATTGATTCCGCAATCGTACTAACATTTTTGTAGTTTTGAATTATTCATAAAATTGTTATTACTTCGTATCAAAAAATTTTAGTTTCGATGCGAAGCTGAGGAGGTATTAATTTTACCATGATGTGTTTATTTTTTTTTTTTTGTCTGTCACTCCTTTTTCTCAGCTCTCACTGGACCGATTTCTTTTAACAATACGTTAAAAGATCAAAAATTGTATCTAGTTGAAGACATTACCCTTAAAAATTGAAAAATTTTCCCTCGTTCCCCGCAAATGGAAGAAATTTCTAAAAACATTACAATTTTTAAAATCGGTAAATTTTGTCATTTTTTTCACTTTTTTATCTTAAAACTTCCATAACTTTTTCAAAAATCAACAAATTAACATAATTTTTTTTTATACGAAAACCTTAGATATTTTTCTTACATTTGATATCTTTTTTTTGAAAAATTAACACTTAACCTGCTCACTGGGGAGGATTTAAAATAACAACTAACTTTTTCAACTTAATTTTTAAAAATTTTCCAGAAATACTGCGTCCTTTAAACATATATCAAATTAAAGCTTATTTTATGTACTATAAAATGAAAAAAAAAAATTTGTCCCGACGATCTATCATCTTTTATGCGCAAATGGCTACCATATTCAAAAATATGCTATTTTTGTATTAAAATGCTGGGTTTTGAATTTTATTTTATTTTGAAATATCTTATTAGGAGAATACACTCACTTTCATGAATATTATATAATTTAATAGACATATTTGGTATATGCTATATTTGTTGTGTAATTATTTTTCTTTGATTAAAAATATTTAGATGAATCCTATATGGATATCTGTTGTTGATTTCAAATCTGGTTTCAGATTTGCTCCATTACATTTAGTTTCAACCAGTTTGGATTTATGCCTGGTAAGTCAACAATGGAGCCAGTATTTTGTGTGAGGCAACTTATAGAAAAGTTTAAGGAAAAGAAGAAAAAGTTGTGTATGGTATTTATAGATTTATAGATTTGGAGAAAGTGTATGACAGAGTACCGAGAGAGGTTTTAAAATGGGCATTAAAGGAGTCCCGAAAACGTACATTAATATAATAGAAGATATGTATGATGGCACTTATATTAGGGTAAAAAACGTAGGAGGAGTAACAGGTTTTCGGGTAAGAGTAGGAGTGCACCAAGGTTCTGCTTTAAGCCCTTACTTATTCTCTATAGTGATGGATGAAATTACTAGAGAAATACAAGTAGAGGTGCCGTGGTGCATGTTGTTTGCTGACGATATAGTGTTAATAGCAGAATTAGGCAAGAAATTAATCAAAAGCTAAAGGTGTGGAGATCAGCTCTTGAAAAAAAGGGTTTAAGAATAAGTAGAAGTAAGACAGAGTTAATAGAGTACGAGTTTGATAAAGGAGAACACGAGGTAAGTGAAATGAGGATGTCAGTGACAATAGACAAGGACGTGATTGGAGAGTTTTAAGTATTTAGGGTCAGTTGTGCAAAAGAGTGGTGGTATTGACAAGGATGTAAGACACAGGTTTAAGTGGAGAAAACTAGAAGGTCTCGCAAACATTATTTTTTGCTTCTATAACATACGCTAGTATATATTAATAATAGTAATATAACTCAAGAAATGACATCTAATGGAATTGACATTATTTTTAATCTTATAAATTGTATTTTTTTAGTGTTTGAAGTATTTGACGGTCTTGCACAGTTGAGCACTAACTCAAAAATTTTAAACTTTAAATGTTTATATCTAATAAACAAATAAAGTTATATTAAAAATTCAAATGCCGTTTACAATAAAATTGAAACTCAAACATTTAATTAAATTCAAAATATGTGTTCCCATTTAAAGAAACAAAGTTGACACCTTTACAAGGCTTAAGAGATGAACTTTAAAAGTATTACATAGTTATAATTCAAGAATAATGTGTAACTAAAGAAAACCATAAAAAACAATATTTAAATTATATTTATTCTGTAAGTAATTGAGTAGGTTATGGTAAAAAAATCACTCTGTATGTTTCAAAATAAAATTTATTCCTCTACGACGATTATAATATATAATAATTATTATAGATTTTGTAGCCAATTTTCCTTTAATGGGCGACAAAACCCGTATCTCCCATATATGTCTAATAAATATTGAATTTTTTATAAAAAAAATTTTTAAATTAAAATCCCCTTAAAAATTACTATTTGAATTCAGCAAATTTTGTAGCATTTTACTTTCTTAACTTAAATTTTTTATTACTTTTCAATTTATAAGATATAAAAAACCATATTTTATTTAAAAACACATTAAATATAAATATTTGTTGATATGAAAAATCGATTTTGTCTCTCTATGTATGGAAATTTCCAAAACATTGAAACATATTTATTAACTTAATAAAATCATCTTTTAGAATTGTTTCACACATTAGATATTAATTAAAAATATATTTGAATAACTTAATAGGTATAAATAATATAAAATTGAGTTTACCTTCGTTAAATATCAAACAAGAAATTATAAAGAAAAAAGATATTAATTGCCAGTTCTAGAATAAAATAAAATAACCATTTAGATTTTAATCGAGTACTTCATATATATATATATATATATAAAGTGTATTACTCACCTTCATTTTTACTCTTCTTCTTTTACTGAAGTATTATATTCTAATGACAATTTTATAGTTAAATAGGAGTATATATATAAAAATGACACTGTTATAGTTAATTATTCTTTTAATTTAAAAAGAGTATTTACTTAATTATTTTAGTCAACCTATTTATACACATGTAAAATAAGTTGGCCAATACGGAATTTGCATAAAGACATTCTTAATTTAATAAAATATGTTGAATTATTAATACAAATATAATTATTATATTCATATAAAAAAATTTTTTTACTCATTATTTCGTAAGTTATTAACATTTTTTTAAAACATGTGTGGATGAAGAGCGCGGTAGAGTAATGCCTAATGATAAAAATAACATAATCCACACTTCACCTCCACTCTACATTTTAAAATAGTTATAACCTCCGAAATACTGGGTTGAAAGTTAACACTCTCATAAAGGATGAATTTAAACAAAAAATTGTCTTTTATATGGACAATAAAAATGTTTACTTCCCAACTTAAGTTGAAACTATATTATTTTTAAAGTGACTTTAATTTAACTGTTTTTATTATATCAACTATAAAACTATAACTTAGTGGAACACAGAGGAATGGCACCCACTCAAGGAAAAACCAATACTGTAAACTATAATTTTTTCGTACAATCTCCAAACCTAAATGTATTTAATTACTAACTTCTTGGTAATAATTTGGGAAACATACAGATTTTTAGTTAAAATATTTTTTTGAAAAAAGAAAATGTGTATTATTATTAAATGTATTGTATATTAATGGGCTGTGATTTTTAAAAATTTAAAACTTAAGTAAAATTTAAATTTAAATTCAAAACAATCTATTTTAAACTAATCTATTTGGTGAGATTATCATAGTATCCTTGACAAGTCTTCTTTTTTAGTAAAAATTACTTGGATTCGCTCAACCAGGGATGTAGAACAATTATACATTATTTCTTTAAATGTTTAATTTTACTATAATTAACAAACAATTTGTACATTTTCTAATAAAATATAAAGTTATGTTTTATCAGATATGACAATTCAAGTTTAATATGTGCGCAATATTATCTCAAATGACTTTTTTGGAAAAAAATGTTCTGTCATAAATTACACAGTATATTATACTAGTCAAATTTCTTGATTTATCAGTTATTAAATACTTTTTTAATTCATCCCTTACATCTTATAATGGCATCAACTTTATTTTTTAAAAAGCATCATATATATTTAACTAACTTAAAATAAAAAATAATGACTTTAATTTATCGATTCCTAATTGATCGATAACAAACTTTGAGCCAGTACTTTGAATGTTATTAACATTCTTTATACCTAGACGGGAAGAGAGATATATATTATTATATAATAATAAAATTTACCATTAGACAATATTTGACAATATTGTAATTATATTATGATAATATTTAATATTGTTAATAATTTGGAATTTTTTTAATGGTAACATATATACTTAACTAGCACATAAAATAGGAAATGATATAGTTTAGAAAATTACTGGTCTATAACAACTTTTAGACCATTATTTCAAAAGTTTCTCAATAAAATATAGAGAATTATTACAATATTTTGTACATAAAAATCAGTCACAAATTTTATGCAAGGAAATTGTATTATTTTAAATCAAATCGTACTAGTAAGTAATATACGTAGTGCATTTATTATACTTAGAAACTTACACAGAATATGTATATAGAATTCTTAATGTAAGTACAAACTTTGATTCATGCTTTTAAAATACAAACACCTTTTGCATAATTAATCATTAGAGAAGAATAGAAAATTTGACAAGTATTTTAATTATCAATCATTTAATTATATTTGACCCCCCAAATCACTCTACTATTTTATTATTACATTCCCTATTATTTTATTATCTTAATTTATAATTAATCAAGTTACACAATTAATCCATTTATTTATCTATTACCCCCTATTTTTTTTATTTTCTTTTGATTTATTACAAATTTTATCATAAAAATTGAAATCCTTATATATTAAAATACGATTTATTAATCTATAGTGATAGATGCTTAATATTCTAAGCGTTAAAAAACTAAAAATTATCCCATTTATTCAAACCCTATTATTAAATGTAATAAGTAAAAATAAAGTTGATGGGGATGGTATTAATAAAAAAGAACGATAATGGCATTATCCGTAAAGATATAATAAATAAAAGTACTTTGTTTCTAGTTATTACTTGATTAGTGTAGTTAGTGTGGTTTAACTGCTATTGCCTGATATATCTTGGCTGCAAATCAAGTTCCACGGTGTAGAGAGGAGAAGAAGTGCTTTAGGTTTATTGGATATTAAATAAAAAAGACAGATTATTGCATAAGCGTATATTATAAACAATTAAATAGTTATTTAACAAAAATGCATTTTAAATTATACTACAGAGTTATATTAAAGAAGAAGACACCAAGTCACAATACGAGTATTAGATAATAAGTAAACAACTGCAAAATAAAAGAATGAGCAAACTTATTACTTAAGTGTAATAGCCAGAAGAGAAAAAATAGAAGTGACTCTTTGCCGGATGTCAAAGGGCTGATCAGATCCCAGAGGGCTCTTAGGTCTGTTATATAATGAATCATAGAAATAAATTAGAAATAATCATAGAGATAATATAAGTTTTTTAATTGAAAGAAAGATGTCCTTTACAACGCGATACGAGGAGTGATTTGTATTGTATCATTGTTTGTTTAGGATATGTAAACAGACAATGACGAGTGATGTGTTGTATATTGCTAATCCATACGTGAAACTGTATGGGCTCATTTATGGCTTATTCGGTAAGGATTATGTAAACAAAATTAATCGACTGCACGCCTAAGTGACGTCAGCACATATCTGCTAAGCATAGGTGAAATGTATTGATTTCATTAAATAATATAAAAGAATATTACATACATTAACACCTCTCTTGTAAGTTACATTTTATGTTAACGAGAACGAAAAAACCTATTTAGTTTCCACTTGAACTATACAGGCTGGTAATTTGAATTATAAAATAAATTTTATTTTTAATTAATTAAATAAATAGACGAAAAAAAAGGTTTTTTAACATCATTCGATGAAAATTTCAAGATTTTAAATTTACCTATATAGAATTTGTATTTAAATAATACTAAAATAAAAACTAAGGATAATACCATTTAAATCAATGGTCATTTAAAAAGTATAATTGATGTTAATGAATTTATTCTAAAATGCATAAATGTAAACGATTAATTTTTCAAAAAATACATTTAATGCATTTTTAAAATGAGTACGAGCAATACTTAAGATAAAATCTCGTTGGAAGGTAAAAATAAAAAAAAGTAATATTTTTTTTACAAAATTTCAACTAAATTTAATCTGGTTTATTAATAATATTAATAACATATTGCATCATTTTACGTAATACAAAAAATTTAACGTACATATGTATTTATAAATATTATGTACTAGTAAATCTACTAAATAACTAGTAAATCATTGACGAGGGCAATTTATATTTTAATAAAATTTGATATTATAATTATTGTCGTTCATCAAAGAATATATTTGTACAGGGTTTCTACATATTTTCTTTTGTGCTTACAGTAAGGGATAGAAGGGCCGAGTTGGATAGATACCCAAGAAATAATGATCATTAACTAACTTATATTATATTAGCTTATACTGCCATCTATTATATATGCAAATATATGAATACAGTGAAACCTCCCCTAACGGACACATACAGTATTTGTTTGGCGTTGATAATGGTAACATTGTTTCCAAAATACGTATCCGCGACTTTTCAGTAATTTTTTTTGTGGCTTTTGAGTTTAATATTTTTAATATAGTTTTAATTTTATTTAATTTATTTGATAAAATCTAGTCTTAATGATTATTATTAGATCTATTTCAGTTAAGTAAAATTATTCCCAGAATTAATATTAAGTTTTCGCTTGTATACAACGACATAGACTATATGGATAACCATTTGATGGGAAAAATTAGGAACGTTGTACAGTTAGAATGGCTTTTTCCTTCTCGATTAACAACCATAATGTTCCACACACGTCTTCAGCATACGTAATTCCAGGAAAATATAAGTGGCCAAACCACAATCAAACTATTATTTTTAGATTGGGTTCAGCCTATGTTCATTGTGTACCAGTGGTGTAGTCCTAAAAATGTTTATGGGTATACGCCTATATAATGAATAGAGAATAACGTGGGGGGCTCCGCCCCCCACACACACCATTGCACTTTACATTTTCTACATACAATATTTCACATTATCAACAGTGATATAGTCGTAATTTGATAAATAGATAAGTTAAAAACCTAAATGAGGAAACGTGGGGAATTTCACCCCCACACTACATTTCAAAGGCCTTAACTATAACATAGTTTTGGGGGACGGAATACAAATATTGTGATATTTTAACTGTGTTAAAAATATGTATTTTCTAATTATTACATAATGCAACTAAAACTCCTAACCCTCCCAGTTGCTCCTTCCAACTTCCAAACTATTACTCGAATATTTTTACTGACACTTCTAAGTTCTTACATAAATTAAATTTCATAGTCATATAATCGATATGTGTATTATTAGATACTGTTATATTTTTTATAAATAAACAATAAACTTTATGCAGTAATAAAATAATCTTACAATCATTGTTTTCAAATCGTTAAAACATAAATGAAATAAACGTGAATAGGTACATGTTAGTACTATCTTAATTCATTATAGGTAATATATTAAATACTAGATTGGTTAGTAAACGGTTTATTACGGAAAAATACAAATTACCAATTTCAACAGCTATAGGTTAACCCAATAACTTTCAGTTTCAACTTAGTATGTGCTATATCGTTAATTTCTGATCGATGTTTTAAATTTTGTCAATAAAATTGTCGTGAAATGATAAACATTATCCTATTTATTTATNTGTCAATAAAATTGTCGTGAAATGATAAACATTATTCTATTTATTTATACACTTTGACAGTGTTTTGTTTTACATTTATATTCTAATTTTAAAATGATAATAGTCTCGAGCCATATTTGTATGTTTATAACTTCAGATATATGTTTATATGTGGTATGACTGTAGAGATTAAACAAACTGATAAGAGTTATTCAAAATTTGTGTTTTATGACAAACGTACCTATATTCGATACCTACGTATTACTTTTTATTTTATTATTTAGTCTATACTCTTTAACTATTTTATAAATACGTATATGCACTAATAAAAAAACTAACAGTGGGTATACGCCGTATACCCGCGTATACGCTCCACGACACCTCTGTTGTGTACTTATATCTACTTAGATTTCGCTGGCAATCACAATAATTAATAATAATTCTATTTGTTGACTTATATCATAATAATTTTAATCTTAAATACTATATGTTTAAATAATTTTATTTTAATTAATAATTATATTTTTGTTAAGGTTTGTAAAACCTTAACAAAGGTTGAAATGTTTACTTTATCTGGTTTTTGTTATTTCTCATGTAATGTTATTCAATTACAAGTACGATTTAATTTTTACAAGATATGGAAATGTGTTGTGAAAATTAAAGTCATAGTTTTTCGTAAGGTATTTTCTAAACAATTAGTATTTTCATTCAGTGACGTACACAAGATTATATCAAGGGAGTGTGTCACAACATATATTATTTGATCGTCTTTTTTGGAACGTCATTTAATATAAAATACATCCTTCTCAGTTTAATAAAATATAGTAGATAATAATGGTAAAAATAGTATTCTAGTTTATAGCAAGAGATGTTTGTATGCCAAAGCATTTTTAAATGCCTTTTAAATAAAAATTTAAAAAATATTATTACCTCCTTAACTAAAAAAAAAACGGTAGCACAGTGAGGCTTAGATGGGACGAGTATAGATGACAGTGATTAACATCAATATCATAAGAAACGGTTCGATGCAAATCTGTAGATAGTGTTTCATTTAGAGAAATTGGTGGATGAATACAAAAGCAACATCAACTCTTATTTCTTAAATTAGGTCCTGATTAGTAGTTCTTTGATTTTAAAATATAATATATGAATAAATACTAATTATAATTATTAAATTTAGTATGAAATTGATATTCAATAATTTAATATTGTAATTTATACGGAGAAATTATAAAAATAATAAAGAAGTTATATTTTGCTTTACTTTTACGTGTATAAAAATTTAAAGGGCTTGATAGAATATTTTTCAATGAAAACTGTTTGTAACTATAAATAAATACACTGTACTACAAGGAACTTTCATCAGAAGCAAAAATATACTTTTCTAAATCAACTTTTCGCGTTGTTTACAAATCTGCAATTAGACTTTTTCTATCACTTCTAATTTTTCATATTATTACTAATTACATATAAAATAATAATTAAAAGAAAAAAAAATTTGTTTTCAAATTATTACTTTTTAGCTTCGATGCAAAGCTGAGAAGGTATTGGTTTTACTAAGAAGTGTTTTTTTTTGTCTGTTACCACTTTTTCTTTCAATGATACGTCAAAAGATCACAAATCGTATCTAGTCGAAGACATTACCTTCAAAAATTAAATTGTTCCCTCGTTCCCCGTAAATGGGGGAAACCTACAAAAATATTATTACTTATTATTAAAAAGTAACAGGTTCTAATTTGTCTAACTGCAATGTGAAACGTCATTCGTTCTTCTTAACACATGATATTATTTTACCTAGGGTAAGTTAAACTAGATTTATAATTTATAATTTAAGTCAAGAGTGCTTTTTTGTGTCAATATTTAAGGAAAGCCTTTTTTGTATACAAGAACACATGAATATAAATTTTCCGATAAATTTAAATGTCATTGAAAAAAATTATTATAAATTAAAAAAAAAAGTATTTGAAAGTTTTCTAAATTCTTTTAAGAAGTATCTGTATTTGAGTATAAATACTCAATGGGTCAAGTATTTAAATACGTATTCTGAGTAATATTTTATAGGGTATCTGTATCTGTATTTAAAATACATTTTCATGTATCTTTATAGGTCTGTCAGCTTCGCATTAAAGCTAAATTTAAGTGTGTCATATATACTGTATACTATATATACTGTATCTATGTACTATAGATACATACAGTATACAGTGTGATTTATTAAGAATACTTATATTTTTTAAATTTTTTATAAAAAAATTTGATTTATATTTATGAGCTATAGTACATATAGTATATCAAGTTTAGTGTAGGAAAAAATTATTTCTAAGGGTAGTTTTTATGGGTAATTTTTGAAAGTTTAACGGGAACCTAAAAGTATCTCAAGTCATACTTAGTTCAAAATCAATTTCATTTTGATGAAAATTACATTCTTATTTTACATTATTAGTTTATTTAAAAAAAATATATTTTTAATAATTGTAAAGATATTACAAAACTGATATTTCAATGTTATATTTAACAATATTATTTCTAACTAAAATTATTTCTAAGTCAACCATTTGTGTATAATAAATTTATTGTCTAACGTGTGTACCTCATATTCCCTTACTATGAATCATATTTTTTTTACCGATAGATAAACATTAATACTTTTTTTGTTATTGTCATCCCATTAAAATGTACCAAAGTAGATTTATATTTAAGTTGCTAGACAATTGAACAAATTACTTGTCACTAAATAAACTACTTAAAATGGGTATTTTTTTAATAGGTTTAATTTTTCAATGATAGTAGGGCACATATAATTTTCTTACTTTACTGAATGTACAAATATTTATGTTTAATTAACTGACTATTTAATATTATTTTTTACTGTCAAATTAATTTGTATTTGAGAAAAAAACTAATATAAATATATATTATGTTTTATAAAAATTATATCCCTTTATTTTTCTATTTATTACTTTAATATAATTATAAAATTATATTATTTTAAGATACATTAAACATTATTTAAAAAAACATTTTTTATGAAATTTAATTTATGCCAAATTTTACTATTCAGTTTTGCAATTTTATTCATTTTAAATCCTAAAAATTGACATAGCAATATTACAATTAACAAAAATGCTGGATTTTGTGTTTTGAAAATTTTAATGACATTTCTGTGTATTATCTATAAAAATATAACACATTTAGTATTCTTAATTCATTTTGTGTTTACATTAAAGTATTTAATCAAGTTCAGATAGCTTTTATAGATTTATTTTATGAGCTCTTAGTTATACTAAAAAAATAATTTTTGAAATTTATTGTTATAATATACACCATGATTGTTTAATCATGACTCAAGTAATGTATTTAAAAATAAATATCATTTATTTAGAAGTTGGTTGGTATCCTACCTGCTATAACTTTCAAAAAAAAAAACTAAAATTGTTTCTATCTCTCCCCTTTCAATCTTAAAATTTTATAAACTTTAATTTTTCAAACAGAAACATATGTTTCCATTCGTTACATATATGTATGTTTAAAAATTAAAAAGTGATCTTTTTTAAGAAAATTAATGGTAGATAATAACTTTTGAAAGTTATTAACTCTTTAATATAATGACCCTACAATGATAAATATAAATTTTATTTTTATCTCTAAGTATTAATAAACCACAGTACTCCTCTGTTTTAAATAAAGTACTAATATCATTAAAAAATTACTAATGATAATTATTAACTATAAATAATTTATTAACTAATTAAAAAATGCACAACGCCAAATTAAAAATATTATAACAATAAAGTAACATGTATAGTATACAAAAAAAAATTGAAAACAAAATATTTCAAAAGAACTAAATAGTTGAATGAATATATAAATAAAAGGTATCAACAATTAATAAAGTATTTTGATTTACAATATTATGTGCAATAAATATGTGTCTATAAAGTTTTTTTTGAAGTTTTGTCTTTTAAGATGAATTGAAAAATCAGAGCAATGTATTTTGAATACTTTACAGTCTTTCCTAAATTAAAAAAAAGTTTAAAATTATGAATGGCTTAAATCAATTTCACAAATAAAATTTTTTTAAATTTTACTTACTGCGTTTTTAAAAGGAATGCGTTTCAAATTTGTAAACATGTATTATTGAAAGGAAATATAGGATAAAATTAGATTTAGACTTCTACAAAATCATACCAAATATAAAAATTAAACTGGGATATTATTAATTTTGCTTCCATTAATGACACAACAGTTTTATTATACAACCTATTATATAATCTATTTTAAAAATCAAAAGTTTTTTTTTGATTTCAGGACTGTTGTGTGCAGTATTTGAAGATGTATTTAAATTATTTACATAGTTGTCAAACTTTTCTATAAGTTCTCCAGAAATTTTGATTATTTTTTAAATAAGAAATTAGTACCTACTAGAACTATGAGTGAATATATTGACTTACTGAGTCTGGGAGATGTTGTTCTTTTGCACACAGCGGAAGACATATTTCTAAAAGGAAATGTTCAGTATGTATCGGAAGGACTACATCTAGTTTCTTCCAAATCAATCTTAACGTCTGAACAACTATATTCAGTTTTCAAAAACGAATTGGGTTTGTTACTTGTATTGCTTCCGTTAATCATGGGCTATAAGTCATCTCCTTGATTAAGTTGCACATTATAAGATGTATCTTTTTGGTCACAATTGATTTCTAATACCAAATGATTTTATCAACACATTGCTGTTGTGTACGGCATTTGTTGACAAATTTAGACCTTTATCATAGAAGAAGCTATCAAACTTTTCAATAAGTTCTTCTGAAATGTTGAATATTTTAGTATAATAGTATATTATTTATGAAAATACTATTTTTATGGCCAATTCAGTAAAATTTAAATATAATAAAACATGTTAAAAAACTAATATATAGAATATTTTATTTACTGAGTCTTGGAGATGGTGTTCTTTTGAACACAGCGGAAGACATATTTCTAAAAGGAAATGTTTGATATATATTGTAAGGACTAGATCTAGTCTTTTTCAAATCACTCTTAACGTCTGAATATCCATTTTTTTTAAATTTTAGATCTGTAAAAATAATTTAACATAAATATTTTCAATCGAGTTATAGCTAGTATTATTTATTTCCTAAATTTATTAATATTAATATTGAAAAAATAAAAACTTAGAAAAAATATTTTATTATTTTTCTAAATGGGCTCTGAAAAATAAGAAATACCACAAAGGTATTAGTTTTATCTATGTCAACAGTATATTGAATTATAAATGTATTATATACATAACAATTAAAAGATACAAATATTTCTCACCGTATCCTCGAGAAGATAATTCTACAAACGTATGTAAAGGTGTTTTCTCTGGATGAAATTCCTCCGTTTGGCTATATGAGCTGAAATATGTTGTGTCCAAACCTAAGTTATGTCTAATTCCTTTCAATATTAAGTTTACAAAAGAAAAGATGGTGACATAATAATCTACATGGAAAAAATATAGCATGCAATTAATCAAAAAGAAATGAGAATTATAGAACTATTAATTTACTACAAAGATAGATGATTATTACTTTTTATTTTTTTGAAAGCATCCATATCAAATGAAAGTTTGCAATTTGTACAGTTTTAGTAACACAAAATAAATTATCTAACTTTCCTGTACGCTCACAAAAATTTTCTAACGAAAATAAGAGAAATAATTAGCCTTTGTGTATTTATTCGATGCTAGTGGTTTACGTGGTGATACAAATAGAAATCAGATATTTGTAGCCAATAGTTAAATTCATTTGGTTACTAAACTAATTATAAAAAAAATGTAAACTGCAGAAGTTTAATTCAAAATTCCTTGAAGATAATGTAACATTAGAAACAAAACAAAAATAATTATCTAAATAAATGATCTAATTGTTTTGTGTTCTTATTTTAATCATGTTTTATTTTTTTACTTAAAACACTTAAAGAAATTATGATATTTGAATGATTAATCATAGAACAAATGATGGTCATTGTCCCACAGGATGTGATTTCATCAGAGTCTAATGATTTTTTAATCATAAGAATCACATTAAGACGGATTAAATTAAATATATCGACAATTTTTAGTGAATACTCAATTAATAATTTACTGAGCGATTCCTTAGCTAAGCCTCACAAAAAATCTTTAATAATATTTGACCTAATCATTATTTTATTTTTGTAACTATAATAGTTCTTTCTTGAGCTGTTTTACACAAAAAAATAATTTTGAACAAGTCTATCTCCCGTACCAGGCTGTCGTCATCCAGCTCCATCGGCTGCTCCTACTGTGTGTTACCCCGGCTGATGTTGATGATGGGGACTGCCAATACTATGTCCACGTATACCCCTGACGGTCTCCTCGCAATGGTGAACGGAGCCTGCGCAGCTGTTGTTATTGGTGGTGCTGATGTTGATGAGTTGATTGTTTGGGTAGTGTTGTGGTTGTGCTTACAGTTGGTGTAGGGGGAAAAGGTTCTCACCGACGACGACCCCCCAACGTCGAAGCATGTACTCACGGTATTTCTTCGTCCGGCGTTCTCGCTCGGACGGAGAATAATACCGTGAAGTCTTGCTGATCAATGGAGTAGTGTGGCCCTTGCACACTACCTTGCCATTGGAGGTGCGGGGGAGGGAGTTCAGCACGTTTTGCATTACGCGCCCGCCTCCTCATGACCTATTCGCACACCCTGTTCATAGTGGTGCGGGCCACCGGGTTACGCTATACCTCAGGTAGGAGGGCACCAGCAGCATCCTCTGCCGAACACAAAACGCAGGGGAGGGGATCCACTGGGAGGCCCACCGTGCCCGCCAACTAGCTAACCAATCGGCGGACTTCCTCGACGGATAGGGCGGCGGGTGAGTTGTTGTTGGTGTTACTCATGCTGAAAAATAACAAAAAAAAAAACTATTAATGTTGACTTTTCATACATGAATTTTCCTTGGTAGGGACTGGTTCGTTAAGAACACACCTTTGCCGAGGTGTTCGGCTAGTGTAACGGGGCCTCACCACTTCGGCGCAAAACTAGCACAAAATTGTTTGTTCGCGTTCGATAGGTAATGCGCTTTGTAGCAAACAACGTCGCCGACCGCGTATTTTGTTTTGACGTAACTGGGCGGCGGTGTTATTTTTGTGCTGGTGATTTGTCGTTAGTGCTCTAAACGGTCGTCGTTGATAGCAGCGGGTGCTACCGGTTGTACTAGCTGAAGTAGCCAGTCACCCGGTTTCTTACATTCTCTACCTAATACGAGTATGGACGGTGAGACGAGCAACCGGTCGTCTCGTTACGCCTATTGCGTAGAGCGAACAACAAGGGCGGTAGTTTTATGTCCCAAGATGTGTGACTCGACTCAGTTAATAGAGCGCAAAGTCTTTTTTTTAACTCTTGGTTTTTGCGTTTTACCGAGTTAGCCCGTGGGTGGTATATCGGTATAGTCCAGGCCTCTGCCCCCCACCGATTGATCGGGTCGATCATTTCTTTGGACACGAGCGCACGGCCGTTGTCGCTTAAAATTACTCGCGCGAAACCGTAGCGTGAAAAGAACTTCCTTTCTAACACATCTACAATCGTTTTCGTTGTAGGCGCGCCTATGGGGTACGCTTCGGTCCACCTACTGAAGCAGTTCGTTACCACTAATAGGTTCGTGTTGCTCCTTGGTGTTCTAGGATACCAAGTGTTCGTCGGTTTGTAGGCAGAATGTTTTTGGGTAGTTGGTGGGAGAGAGTAGTGGTGAGTCGCATATCGTCGATTTAATGTGCTCGAAAGCGTGTTGTTGTGGTTTTCCCCTTTCTTTAATAAGTGGGTGAGGGGGTCGATGCTGTCAGCGTAATTATCGACAAACTAACTATACCAGTTGCATATCCCTAAACATTTTCGTATATCCCATACATTGCGTGGGACTGGAATATCGCGTATGGACTGTAATTTTTCAAGCTCTTTGTCTACCCAACCCGGTGTCCCAAAAAAAGAAATTTCAGAATACCCGATCTTACACTTTTTAGTGTGGCATGTTAGGCCATGACGCATTAGGCGTTCTAGAACCTTGCTAAGGTGGTCTAGATGTGTTTCGACACTGTCCGGAAAAATTAAAATATCGTCCGGATAGACCTGAACAAAGTCATCAATGTACCCCCTAAGTACTTCGTTCATTAAACGTACGAAAGTCATGGGTGCATTTTTAAGTCCGAACGGAAGCACACGAAACTGAAATAAGCCCTTTTTTTGTTCTGAACGCGGTGTATTTGCGTACGTTTTGCTTTAAAGAGCATTGCCAGTAACCCGATTTTAAGTAGAGTGTAACGATCGTTGTACTATGATAATGTATATGATTACCCTACCGGCCTAGTGGTTTTATCGAAACAATTCAACGAGTGTGTTCGCGGCGTTGTACGGCTCAAGGTCATCGGTGCGCGCGTATGTATAGATAACGTAATCGCCAGAAATCCACTTGTACAGTGTTTAAAAATACACTGAAGGTGGGAATTGTAATATAGGTCATTATTTTGTAAAACTGAAAATAAAGCATTTTTGTAATGTTTGGTTTAATTGTAATTTCTTGATCTATTATTACAAAACATAATATAGTCTATTATTTGAAAACCAAGAAGTAGAACACTTTTTTAATGTATAATGATTAATTGTAATTCCCCGAATTATTGTAACTAGACCAGGAAGTAAATATTTATAAACATTTTTGAAAATGATTGCATTATGAATTTTATAAAAAAGAAAAACAAAATATTTTAGTATATAAGACGAAATGGAATGAATTGAAAAGGAAAGAGAAGACCTCGGGAGTAACGAAGGTTTGGTTATTTTGGGTATTATTTATTTATCCTGTTTCGAGTGTATCATTATTTTATATGTTTTACTTTGATTATATCTTTATTAATTACTTTTGCGTTATTATTGAACTATTATAACTATAAGTTAGAACAAAAATTTTTATTCTAATACTAAATCAAAAAACGATTTAACAGAATATACTATTCGCGCAGTAGAGAGTATCTATAAGACCAGGCGGGAAATTCACAGTTGTCATCAGTGAACTAAAAGTTAAAAATATCCGTAGTACGGGAAGGGTGAGGAAAATATCGCTTAAAAAAAAAAAAAATTCAAAATTTATGTAACTAATATAAAATGTCAGCAGTATTCTCTTACCTTTTTAATAAGTTATTCTGGTTTTGATTCTTTGCCGAGGAGCCAGTTGTTATGGGTGGAGTTGAATAACTTGGGCGACACTAAGTTTTTAAAATAACAGTTGGCGTGAACCGCATATTTAGCACAATACAAAAACAATACATTCAATAAAAAGAACAACATTATATTGCCAATAGCACTAGATGATAGTATCACACAGTAATAACAATAGTAACCGTAGTGGGAAGTATCCCGAATGCTACAAACTAGAAACATAGTTTCAAACTACATAAATAGGAAGTGTCACGGAGAAGACTGATAACCGTATCATTGCGGTGGGTATTCGACGCTAGGCATTTGTTGGACTTTACACCTCGACGATAACGCGTGTGTGTAACGGTCCGGTTTACAGTGGGGCGGCGTCTGAGAAAGAGCTGACACGACCGCGGTGTGTCAAACGGGTGACAACGCCATGGCAGTGTCAAATCTCACAGTTTTATCTTTGCTAATTTTAGTTTGTTAAGTTTTTTAAACTTTATTATTGAGATTATTTTCAGTTTAAATAGCATATACAATGAATAAAATGTATTATTTATTTTATTTCGTCGACTTAAAAGTATTTGTGGATTTATTAACGATTCAAATCTATAGATAAGGTTTAATTTTAAAAAATTGGTAGATTATTCCAAAAGCTACATGATCTATTTCCTTATTTATATTCTTAATACAAGTTTTATGATATAAGTGTAATATATTAATAAATATATATATATATATAAATATAAAAAGGAAAATAGTCTTATTAAAAAAAAAATATATATCGAATAAATATAAATAGTATTTGTCATAAAAATAATGTATTGATCCATACATTTTTCAAAAAGTTATGAAAAAAAATTTAAAGTTAAAAATATTAAAAAATTATTTACATAAATCGTATTTTTTTATTTACTTTGATGTCCGTTTTCACCATAAAAACAAAAGAAAGTTCGACATTTTTTTTTTTTAATATTAAAGTATATTATATAAGCTTTAATTTAAGATATATATAAAAGTGTCAGTATTTCCGGAAATCTTTAAAAAATTAAGTTGAAAAAGTTCTACTTTCTTTTTGCATTTTTAAGTTTTGAACCTCTTCTGTAAAAAAGGAAATGGTCAGATTTAAAAAAAAAGTATGTTGAATGAAAGAAATATATAAATAGTATTTCTTATGAAAATATTGAATTAATCCATACTTTTTTAAAAAGTTATAGTAATATAAAATTAAAAATGTAAATTATAAAATCGAGAATTTTACAAACAAAAATAGCATACGGTAGCCATTTTCACCATGAAGACAAAAAAAGTCCAACATTTTTTTTCTCCATAATAAAGTATATTAGCTTTAATTTAAGATATATATATATATATATATAAGTGTCAGTGTTTCCGGAACATTTTCAAAAGTCAAGTTGAAAAAGTAAATTTTTTGTGAAAAAGTTGTCATTTTGAATCCCCCCTGTGGGCTGGTAAAGGGTTAAATTTATAAAAAATATATACCAAATGATAGGTAAAGACATCAAGCATCTATAAAAAAAAAATTATATTGATGTGGTCATTTTTAAAAAAATTATGGCAGTATTAAGTAAAAAAAATTGAAAAAATGTTGAAAATTAGTGATTTTTAAATTTGGTATTTTTTTTGGACATTTCCCCCATTTACGGGGAACAAGGGGAATTTTTTCAATTTTTGAGGGTAATGTCTTCGACTAGATACGATTTGTGATCTTGATGTATCGTTGAAAGAAATCGGTTCGGTGAGAGCTGAGGAAAAGTGGTTACAGACACAAAAAAAAAAGGCATCATGGTAAAATTAATACTTTTTCAGTTTCGCATTGAAGCTATTATTAATTTGTATTAATGAAAATTGAAGACGTTCGTGTAAATTTTACAATAATTCACCACCATTATTAAAATTAAATTTCAATCTTTTCATCTATATAATTTCAAGATATTTTAGCTAAGATTATAAACAAACTATAATACACATATTAATTACTGTTTATATACAACAGTCTATAAAGATTAGGTGGGTACTTAAATTTATACCAAGTTTACCTGGTGGGAAATGATTCAGCGGTTATATCTAATGTTCGTTTTATCCTAAAGAACTAAGATTAGTTATATTACTTGTACTAAATGGTATTACATCAATTTTAGCAGAAATTATTTGTTAATACAATGTAATTAATTTTTAAAAACATACAAAAAAGTTTCTCCATAAATTTACAGGAAAAAGCATTGTAAAAATATTAAGGTAACAGTTTATGATACAGCTCGAGATATTATAAAGTAAGACAACCTAACCAATCATTACTTCATAGATATGTTATTCAATTAATTATTAAATTGTGGCATTTGAATTTTTTTTAATTGCAATTTGTTCAAGTGAATGAAAAACATTTAAATGATATCTTATGCATATCAAAATTTAACGTGTTATATTTTAAAATGAAATCTAAATACTTATCTATATGTGTTTTTATCTAAAACTAGAAAACTATAATAGTTTTTGTAAATCTTGTTTGTCTAAAAACTATATTCCCGGCTTTAAATCTAGCATTTAAAATTTGACTATAGTAGGGATTAACCGATTATTAAGGATTAAACATACCTTCTTAATTAATAATAAAATAGTATAAACTTGTAATAGTGTTCAATCATATTTTATGTGTTAAAACCAATAAAAATAAGTATAACATCTAAAACGGGACCGATACAATAAGAAAAAGACATATTAATGTATAACTACAAACTGCAACATAATATAACATAACATATTTGGTTATTATATTATAATATAATACAATAACCAAATATGGTTCAATGTATAAATACTTAAAATTTACAATTAGAATATATTGCAGTATAAAAAATAATTGTATTATATACAAAAAATCATTTTAATTTGATTATCAAAAAAAGTTAGTCTTACTTTTTGTAGATTAAAATAGTTATATTATCAATATTTTTATTTAACTAAAGAGCTCCTATCAAAAATCTTTTTTTTTTCTAATTGGTACATTTTTAGCTACATTTTGTTTTATTCACATAAAATAATAATTAAAAAAATTTGTATCAGATTTTAGTATCATGATAGCAATTTGTGAAATTTTTTTAATGATTCCGTAAAGTTTCACTTTTGATGTGGACTTTGAAAGTTGAGTTTTACAGAATTTTAAAATTATATTATGTTTTAATATTTATATTATATTGATTATATAATGGATATTACTACACATTTTATTGTTAAACATATCACTTTTTATGTATTTTGTATGGAAAATAATATTCTAACTATAACGATATACTTTTAATTATTAGTGTATTTCGTTATTATAGGGATTTGCAACACAGATTTGTCTTGAATATCTAAAAGTATTTTATTAAAAAAAAATTCAGTTATTATTCATAATAATGGGACTTTAATTGAGAAAAACTAGCTTTAATTATTTTAAAATAATTTTAAGAAGTATTAATTGAAAATATATTATATATCAGTATACTTTAGTTGGGACAAATATAAATTATCACTACAAATAGAACATAATTGTAAATACCAAAAATCAAACACTTCATTTTATAAAATATTTCATTTTAAAAACATACTTAATGAAAAAAAAATAAAAACTAAAAATTCTTCTTATTTTTTCTCGTCTTAATCCTAACTACTTATGGTAGGCCAAAAAATCACCAAAAATTTAAAAAAAAAGGTCTGCTCACCTTAACTAAAATGTATTAAATAGACAATATTAAATAATAAAAACTTCTTCTACCTTAAAATTTGTATCAACACTGGAAGGTATAATTTTCTCAGTTCATCTCTCGTTCAGTCATGCATAATTATAATATCAATTAAATAAATTATTAATTTTAACATTATAATTAGTATTTAATTAAACACTCTAATTGTAAATATTCTATATATAATATATTATTTAATTAAATAGTCTAATATAAATAATTATTCATTGATTTCAAATCGGAATTGCCTTTCTCAAAGCGTATATAACAATAAATGTAAAATCGTCATTTATTAGTAGTTCTATGAGTTGTCTTTGTTTGTAAGTTTCCGCGAAAAATAACCATCGTCAAATTTTCATCGGTCCAGGCAACGAAAGCACAAGACAATCAAACCCAACCTGGAACAGATTTTCGCGGGACACAATCACATGACTTCTTCAAAAATATATTTCTTTCCTTTGACATACTTTTTTTTTTAATTGGACCATTTCCCTTTATACAGAGAAGTTCAAACCTTTAAAAATGCGTATAGAAAGTAGAAAGACTTAGTCAAAGTTCCGACGAAGGGTAATAAATTTTCAGATGGGTATGAGGGCCCTTATGTTATTTTGAAGAAAATAGTTCCATTTAGTTACTTAATAACAATGCAAAAAATAATATATTGGTCAAGTCACCAGTTCACGTAGACCAGTTAGAACCGTTTATTTCTAGAATATAAAATCCCATCAAATCTCGAGTCAGGTCTAGCACTAAAATAGTAAAATATGTATAATAAGGAGATGATGATATAATAAAAATGTAATAATTTTTAGAAAGTATAAGAATTATAAGGTGCATATGTAATAAACCAAAAATAAAATTAAAAATATTAAAAGGTGCGGACAAGGTAGGGTAAAATTATAAATAAAAAAATAAAAAGGGAACAGACAAGGTGGGGTAGGGTAGTGGAATATTAAATATTTTTTTGGTATTTATATAATTTGTTATTAATGGTTTATTACGCAATAGATTGATGGAGATTCGAAAGCATAGGTTAAATTGTACTTACCTTGCATCCTATGTAATGCAATAATATTTCAAGTAATCCAATGTCGTACACTAACATGTGGGGACGGCGGCATATTTCGACTGATTCGCTCGAGCATGTTGGAAATATGTCGTTGTTCTATTGATATACGCGACAGCGACCTTTCTAATTCAGTCATACGTGCTTCAATTCGCGCGTTATACGAGGTGTCGCGAATGTTCTGTCGGATCGCCCCAATTTGCTCTGCCACGTGCGCTATCGAGCGGGCAACCTATACGTCCACAACGTACGACGCGCCTAGTTTTCCGCTTGTGCGCGTAATTTCTCCCGGTTGTTCGGCATCAGATTCATCGTCTGATGTGCGTAGCGCGAAGTTCACCGGATGTTCCTCCGGTAAAGGCGCTACGACGTGCCGCTGGTTGTTTGCGTTGATCTCTTCTTCGCTGACACGGTCCGTAGAGTTGTCGAAAACCCCCACTTCGGGTTCGTTGACCGGAATTTTGCTATCGAGCGGGGTTTGGAGCGGTAAAATTTCGGTAGCTGGGTTCCTCCCTTCGCTACGAAGGTTTTCTTCTAGCATAATTAGCATGTTGGGTTTCGTCGCGTAGCATGATAGCTGTCTAAAAGTGCATTCGCGCACAGTTCAGCGCAATTCATTTGTGCTAAAGATTTCCTCGACATATTCACCGTGAATATTATGTTTATTGACAAACCTTAATGTAGCTACGTTAATAGCG